TTATGCCTTTTGGTCTTACAAATGCACCCGCGGTCTTTCAATCTCTAATTAACTCTGTCCTCAATGATTTCATCAACAAATTTGTCACAGTTTATCTCGACAACATCCTCATTTTCTCCAGATCACCATCCGAACACCGTCTACATGTCCGTGCAGTTCTCCAACGTCTCCTAGAGAACCGTCTGTTCGTTAAGGCAGAGAAATGTAAATTCATCTCCTCATCTGTCAAGTTCCTCGGCTTTGTTCTGGAGAGCGGAAGGCTGAAGGCAGATCTGGACAAGATCAGAGCTGTGGAGGAGTGGCCCTCACCCACGAACAGAAGACAGCTGCAACGATTCTTGGGGTTTGCTAATTTCTATCGTAGGTTCATTAAAGACTACAGTTCCATAGCCACCCCTCTCACTCAACTAACTTCTGTTAACAAACCTTTTTCCTGGACCCCTGAGGCAGAAGAAGCGTTTCTCACCTTAAAGAACCGTTTCACTCAGGCACCCATCCTCACCCGACCAGATCCGCTCTGGCAATTCACCCTGGAAGTGGATGCGTCTTACACCGGCGCTGGTGCTGTATTATCCCAGGTCTCCTCAGCTGATAACACCCTGCACCCGTGTGCCTTTTTCTCTCGTCGTCTGTCTCCAGCCGAACAGAATTACGACGTTGGAGACTGGGAACTGTTGGCCATAAAACTGGCACTGGAGGAGTGGCGTCACTGGCTTGAGGGGGCGGAACTTCCCATCCAGATCTTGACGGACCATAAAAACCTAGCGTATCTGAGGGAGGCCAAGAGGCTTAATCCCCGCCAGTCCCGCTGGTCTTTATTCTTCTCCCGATTTAACTACCTCATCTCTTACAGACCCGGAACTAAGAACACCAAACCTGACGCCCTATTCCGCTTTTACGCCCCGGACAAGGAGGTCGAACCCACCACTATCCTTCCTCATTCCTGTGTCCTCGGATCTATCACTTGGGATATTTCCACCAAGGTCTTGGAGGCTCAGCAGACGGATTCCAACCCAGGTACGGGTCCCCCTAACAGGACCTATGTCCCCTCCTCTGTTTGCAGTGCCGTAACCAAGTGGGTCCACACCTCCAGGTTCTCCATCCATCGCGGCGTGGGTAGAACGCTGGCCCTCATCCGTCGGACGTTCTGGTGGCCCACGCTCTACAGGGACACCAAGGAATACATAAGCGCATGTCAGGTTTGTGCCCGAAACAAGTCCAGCAACCAGCCACCTCAAGGTCTCCTGTGTCCCCTATCTATTCCTTCACGCCCCTGGTCCCACATCACATTGGATTTTGTCTCTGGTTTACCGGTCTCCAAGGGTTTTGACACCATACTCACCATTGTCGATCGCTTCTCTAAGTCCTGTCATCTAGTTCCCCTTAAACATCTCCCAACCTCTGCAGAGACGGCCAACCTCCTCGTCACTCAGGTTTTCCGCCAACATGGAATCCCCTCAGAGATCCTCTCAGACCGAGGCCCTCAATTTGTGTCACGAGTGTGGAAGGAATTTGGCAACCATCTGGGGGCTCGAACCGCTCTGAGCTCTGGCTTCCATCCCCAAACCAACGGCCAGTGCGAGCGGATGAACCAGGAGCTGGAGGCCATGCTGAGATGCGTCTGCTCTAAAGATCCATCTGGATGGAGTGACCAGATTGCATGGATAGAGTACGCTCACAACTCACACATTTCCTCCACCACAGGCCAATCCCCATTCAAGATCTCTCTGGGTTATCAGCCACCTCTGTTTTCCCTCCGACTCCGATCCTCCAACTTACTGAATTTCCCGAAGGAACTCACCCGAGGGATTAATAAAGTTTTATCTTATCTCTTATCTTATCTTCAGCTCTCCAGTTAATACGCCGCGCTAGACGCACCTGGACCCAGACCAAGGCCGCACTCCAACGGACCGCCGACCGCAACCGCCGGCTGGCTGACTGGCGCCGCCGTCCAGCCCCTGCCTACGCTCCTGGCCAGCAGGTCTGGTTGTCCACCCGGGACATCAAACTGAAGGATGCTAATAAGAAATTCTACCCCCGGTTCATCGGCCCCTACACCATAGCTGAGGTCCTCAGCCCAGTTTCTGTGCGTCTGTCCCTGCCTTCCTCCATTAGGGTCCATCCGGTGTTCAACGTCTCATTGGTCAAGCCCTTCATGTCCAGCCCTCTGTGCCCTCCTACTGAGCCTCCTCCTCCTGTCCGGCTTGCTGACGGCGGTCTAGGCTACCGGGTGTGGCGCATCCTGGGTGTTCGTCCCCGGGGTCGTGGTCGCCAATTCCTGGTGGATTGGGAGGGGTATGGTCCGGAGCATCGTCAGTGGATTCCCTCCTCCTGGATTGATGACGTCTCGCTCATCAGGGATTTTGAGTCCTCCTCCTCCTCGGCTGGGCCGCCGGGTGGCGTCCCTTGAGGGGGGGAGGGGGGGTGGGGGGTATTGTCATGGTTCTGCTGTCTTCTGCTGTGTTTTGTCATTCATTGTTTGCAGGTGAGTGTGTTGGGGAGCTGCAGCTGAAGCCAATTAACTCCAGCTTGGCCAGAGGATTTAAGGAACAGCGCTCCCACACCTCAACGCCGGCTGATACTCAGTTGTTGGGTAAATCCTGTCCTAAATCAGAGAGACCTGAAAACTAGTTCGTCTGTTCAACCTGATCTGCGTTTTTGTCTGCCCCAGTCCTGGATACTCTCCGCCTGCCTGAGGTGTGTGTTTTTTTTCATCTCGGCACTGTTCGATTCCCTGGCCTCCGCTCTCCAACGTTCACCTGCCTTCCTGGATCTAACCATTCTCCTGCGACAACCTCCACCCCTGCATCAGCCTGACTTGCCTCTCCCTCCAGCTCTTACCCTGCTCAACTCAGTAAGACCGTTCCTCTTATCTTATACTTTCCTGGTTCTCGGTTTCTGCCACTCACACCATTGTGTTTTTCTTATAGTCGGAGTCGTCCCGTTTTCCTGCCCCTTTGGATCTGCGCTCTTATTTATTATTCTTTGGTTTCTTTTGTTTTTCTTAATAATAAAGACTTTTATATCATCGCTCACCTTATCCGTGTGTGATTTTCTCATGTGGGTTAAGAGACTTCAGCCCACCATGACAGTTATGGCATCATAAATGCAAAATATGTGTAAAGTCCAGAAGTTGTCCTGTCACGTAATTTTCTGTACATCACAGTGTTTGCATAGGAACTGATTTAAGCACTATCAGACTAGTATTTGTTCGTATGCTAGCTTTACAAATGAGCCACAGAGCAAAGCCCTCATTTCAGAAGCCGAAAGACCCACGGGATATTCAGACTCAAAACTTATTCCCAACCTCCGTCCTTTTTCACCCTTTGTGTCTGGGTCGCGGGGGTAGAGAGGGTCAAACCTCCCTTTCCCCAGCAAACTCCACCGGCATGATCCCCAGGCATTCCCTGGCCAACGTGGTGATTTAATCCCCCCACCATGTCATGACTCCCAATTTTTCAACCTTCATGCAGCACACCTGGTCCCCTCATCAAGCTCCAGCCAAGCCCCGTTTCCCTAGCAACCTCAGTCTGCACCTCATCAACTCAAATCAACTCACCTGTTCCTGTCATCAGCCTCATTCACCACACCTGTTCCTTCTGCTTCATAAGAACCATCCAGCTATCCAGTCACTGCCAAATTATTGAACGCCATTTGCTAGTAAATCTTCCAGCCATTCACCCTGCCTGATCTCAGCCTCCGGACCTCATTTTTACTCCTGACCCCTGCCTCGAACTCTGCCTGCCACCACGACCCTCGCCTGTCTGCTACCTCGTCTCCAGCCTGTTCCCTGTATCTGCTTGTCTGATCTGGTTTTGACCCTCGCCTCCTCTCCGACTCTGTCCCCTGCCTCGCCCTCTACGGTGACTCCACTCCAAATAAAGACTTTTAATCTACTTTTTACTGTGTTTGGCATCATCACGGGTCTTCTGAGTTCTGTTCGTGACACACCGTGTCGATCTTCACCTGGGCGGAGTCCGGGGAGCGTTCTCTCATGTCTGCTTGACATGGAGGAACAGCGGCTCTACTCTGTGTCTCTCCAAAATGCCAGAGCTCTTTGCCGTACGTCTGAGGCAGAGCCCAGCTCCTCTGGAGAAAACTCATTTTGGTCACTTGTTTTCGTGATCGTTCCCATCCACCCTCTGCTTTAATCTGTGCTTCTTTGCTTTTACGGCCCCTTATGTGTGTTTTTAGTTGGAATGTTTTTGTCAAACCAGCGAGCGTTCAGACTGCTGCTTATCTCTACCTCTAGTTCTGATAAAGGACACTTGTTGGTTGGTCTGAGTGGTTTTGCTTCCTTTTGTTTTTTCTACCTGAGATGGTTTAGGTTGCTTTAGTTGGCCCTAATTGCCTGTTTCGTTAAAGTAAAACCCCAACGATCCTGATGTGTAACCTAACGTCCCCTCAGCTGGCTTGGTGGACTTTAGTCACTCATTCATGGTTTCCCAGCCTATTGTTCACCACTTGCAGAGCAAACAGCTGCTGACAACTGCTTCTATTTTAGGCTGAACAACCTACGGACCATCCTTCACACTTCTGCTCCTAAAGTGAATTTTTATGCCCTTGACTCGTAGTTCCACTTGAAAGAACCCCCGCCCAGGCCGCATCAAGCAGTCAAGGTCGGCGCTTCTATTAAACATTCTCCACTCGTTCCATCGTACGAACCTTATGGAGCGCTCAGGTCTTTAGAATCATTTGATAAATGTGCTGCTCTTGTCACACGCCCCACCTGCAGGGCTTGTGGGACTTTTATATCCAATGCAACAACCTGCTCCTTTTCCTCATGCCCAGACCAGAGGGAGATCTGGGAAACTTGAGCAAAAATTCCCACTTAACTCGAACCTGATTTGCCTTGCAAATGATGGTTTTGTTCTATTTTTTTAACTACCTGCATTTTTATTTTTCATGTGAAGTAAAACTGGCTTCGGTTGCATTTATTTTTCTAATAGGGACACTGAACAACCTCAGACTCTAAGTGCTCTCAGCACCTCTCCACTTACCGTACACTCTGCCTAACACCAGAGACTTGATGGCATTAAACTCTCCATCAGATGTAAGGTTGAAGTTTTCTCTGGCATTTTGATCAACCTGGAAAAAAGAAATCACACTTACAGTCGTGGCCAAAAGTTTAGAGAATGACACAAATATTACATCTCGCTCTCTTTGGAGGATCTGCCATAGCTGAAGTCTCTAAACCGGTCGCCTACGAGATACTGCCGTAAAGCAACACGCAGTCAGTGCTTCCGCCGGCGGCCCGCCACTCAAAAACTGTATCGTGCGGTAAACAGACATGAGACCCCATAACACTATCACAGTTACAAAAATGAACACATTAGATGATAGCATTACACCAAAACCTTTCAAAAAACATTATTTAAGGTGTAAAAGTTGCTGAATGTGGCTTTAATGCAGAGTATCTATTTTACTAATTCATGAGGATAGTTTTTTTAGCGATACACATGGCTGTCAGAACCACGTGAACCAAAGATGTTTCATTCGGGACATCGTCCAGGTTTCCCAGCAAACAAAGACAGGGGGAAGTTGGGATATGACATTTCAGACATTTTGACAGGTCTTCACATTCTCTACCCCAAAATTCCTGGACAGGTGGGCAGGACCACAGTGCGTGAATGTAATTGTCAGGAACGTTGTTTGTGCAGTGTGTACAGGTGTCAGACGACACAAACCCCATCTTGAACATCCGATGGCCTGTATAGTGTACTCTGTGTAGAATTTTGTACTGAATTAATTGTAAATTGGAGTGTCTGATCATTTTAAAAGTTTTTAAACAAGTTTGGGACCAGAAGTTCTGGTCAAAGCTGACTGATAGATCCTTCAATAGGGATTGCTATACTATCGTCTATTTTGGACAGTGTCTTATAAACTTTATACAGCAGTTTGGGGGGTTTGAGATAATAGAGGTCAAATACCCTTGGTGGTGTTTGTAATTCTATTTTATTGAGCTTAAATTTTTGTTTGACTACAGATTTAATTTGGTGATATTCTAAAAAGCTTTTCTTATCGATTCCAAATTGGGAGACTATTCTATTAAATGGGATGAAGTCCAATCCTTCATATACGTGTTCCAGGCGTTATATTTGTGATGAAGCTCTTTGAGCTACTTTGGAGCCAGAATGGAATGCAAAGACCAGTCTGAACCAGTACGCAGCACGCTGTGGCCTCTGAGGGATTTAAACCTCGCAGCATTGTTCTTCACCTGCTCAGGGACGATGATGAGATGGTTTCGACCTGTGAAGCTGCTGGGCATCAGGAAAAAGCTCACCAATGTTCACCTGGTGATGCAGGTTACTGATGATGTCATGGTGATGAGCGCAGCCATGAAAACGTCCTGTTCTACTGCAGCGAGACACGCGGAACCAGGAAGAGGTTTTATCTTACGTGGTTTAGATTTAAAGGCTGCTGACTCCTGGTTGGAGAAACTCTCCTCATACATCACCACTTACCCAGTTAGAAGGTTCACTGGATTCACTAAAGATTAAACTCTGGAGGCAGACGTTGCAGATTTGCAACGTTAAAACCTACCTACCTGGTTACTCCACATATGTATTTCATGAGCATTTTTTAACTCAGATGTACCCCTGAAGGACTTGTTCGTCCTTTTATCAAAACTTATTTTGAGCCTGAGAGGGTTAAAGAGCCTCGCGTTTATTTATGTTTATATTATTAATGTTTTTTTTTGTTCGAGCTCCCCTGTAACATGGAAAATAAGACCCCATTTGTGACTTAAAAACAGTTTCAATTTCTAAACAAATATAAACTACTCCGACTGATTTTGGTGCTTCTTTGTTTTATAAAACATCTTCAGCTTTTTTATGCCAAATCCTGACTTTAACCAGAAATCCTCTGATTTAAAAACTTTATTTTTTTGTTGTTTAAGTGCTGATTTAGAGTTTTCAACATTTTTATATCATAGGTTCCGTGTTGGCCACTCTCCACATCTTTCTTCTCCCTGCTTCTCTGTGTCATGGTCTGCGTTCTGCATCTCCCTCATGTGTCTCCTTGTGTTCTCCATTCCTCTCTTGGTTCCCCTTATGTGTCTCCTTGTCTGCATCCCTCCTCAGGTGCCTCCCTGTGGTCCCCAGCCCCCTCTAAGTTCTCTCCAGGCTTCCCTCATGTTTCCCTTAGTCACTTTTCTTATCATTAGTTTTCTGTTATTGTAGATTGTTTAGTTCGTTTATCCCTTTAGGTATCATCCTTCCCTGTCTTCCAGTGTTTTTGGTTCTCTTACTCCTAGATCATTAGTTTTATTATCTTTAATTCTCCAGTGTCTTATTTCTACAAGTGTTTTAAGTTATTCAGTTCAGTAGCTTTGTTTAACAGGTTTTAATTAGGGGTTTCTTCACCTGCCCTGTTCTGCTCCTCTTGGTTATTGGTATCACCTGTGCCCAATCCTCCTAATCACCCAGCCCCTGAGTATAAAACCCTGTCCTGCCTTTCTGTGTTTGTGGGTCCATTTTTCGTGTCAGCGTTGTTGTAGTCAGACAAATTGCAGTCTAATTGTAACATTCTAATTGTAATCAGAATGAATGCCCTATCAGATCAAAAGTTCTTCATGTAAACATGTCAATCGGAATATTTTGATCCAATATGACCCGATTGGAAGTCATCGATTGAGAGAAGAAAGAAAACCATCTTTTATATAGCTCCTCTCCACATAAAAAATCATGAGGTGCTTCCCATAAACAAAAAATAAGTTCAATGTAGCGTCATGAAGGGACTGTTTTCCTTTCTCCTCAGGAAGAAATTATCTCCTTGAGATTTTGCTCAAGGCCTTTTGATGCCTCTGCATCTAAACTGTTTTAACTAACTATTTGCCTCACCCTACAGCTCAAGAGAAGAAAGAAGATCAGAACTCTTTTCTTCTATTAAATAATGGCCAAATACCTGTGTTAGTCCAAATAATCATGTAAAGCTCTATGTTAAATCAATCTGTGAAATGAGAATATTAATTACTTGATATTATAATGACAGTATTTTAATAAGTAATACACACTACACACTAGACTGATCACACGCAGTGTTAAATCACACGACACATTCCTTTGTCTCTCGAATCAGAGCTTTCCTTTCTGACACGTGGCATGATCTGTGCGGTGTTTATATTTGTTGTCCAATTTTGATTCGACCATAAATTAAAACATCTGAATTATAAAACTAACTCCCACATCACCCTTAACTCAGTTCAAACGTTATAGAGTTGCGAGCTGGCCACTCGTAACTTATTAACCACAAAGAACCTTGACAAGCTGGATAATAAAACCAGTTGCAAGCTCCACCTGATGCAACGCTCCTTCAGAGTAAAAGCTGAACTCACTGACCCTTCAGGGTCCTGCTGACGCTGTCAACCAACTGTCGCTTACCTGGAGGCATTCCAAGACTAGTCTGTCATACCGTACGCTGTTTCACTGGCTTCGGTACCAAAGAGGGGTTTGAGAACCTGGCATTCTGGATCTGCAACGGAGGTCTCCGTAAGGGTATGTAGCTCGGCAAGATAGCATCTGAATGTGGTTTTTGAAACTCCGACTATAGTTTAGAGCAAAACATTCACTCCCACACAGAACTAAGGCTTGTCACGTCGAGAGCAGGAGGTTAGGACCCAAGATGCAGATACCCCAGATGACACGAGGCAGGAACGTTTAAAAGTAAAATCCTTTTATTTAGGAGGGTGAACAAAAATAAATCCAGAGGCATGGAGCCCAAAATCCAGAAATCCAAACGCAGGAGAACAAAGCTAACTTAGAGCACAAACTGGGGACTAGACAGGAAGCTCACACAGAGCACCAAAGAACAACAGTGACAAACAACAATGGACAGACAAGAACAATGAGACAAGGAGGGCTTATATAGACAGGAAGGAGCAATTAGGGAAACAGGAAGCAGGTGTGTGGAGTGAGGCTGGAGGGAAGGCAGGTGACAACAATTATCTGGATGGGGAAGAGAACCAGTGGAGGGCAGATAAACCTAAAACTATATAAAACACAAAACTAAACCTAAAAACTAAGGGAAGGGCTAACACAAACACATACACATACTGACACACACAAACTCATACACACATACAATGAACTGGGGAACAAGAGGCTGGGGCTACAACTTAAGACACACAACAGAGATGCAGACAAAGGACACATGAGGGTGCTAAGAAAACACAAAAGGAGAACCTGAAGTGGGAACTGGAGGAGCTGGGGAACAAGAGGAAACAGAAAATGACAATACCCACCCCAACCCCCACCCCCCACCCCCACCCCCAAGGGCGGATACCAGACGCACAAAACCAGAACAAGACAAAAACATAAAAAAAGACAAAGACAAAACAGGACACAAAAGACCACAGGGCGGGAGAGGAGGGACCAGACAAAAAACAGCCGGCGACGGGGAACCAGGAGGTGGGACCGGTCAAGTCTTGGGGGCCGGCGATGGGGAACAAGGAGGCGGGACCAGAGGAGTCATGGGGGCCGGCGACGGGAAACCAGGAGGCGGGACCAGGGAAGTCTCAGGGGCAGGCGACGGGGACCAGGAGGCGGGACCAGGGAAGTCTCGGGGGCCGGTGACGGGGAACCAGGAGGCGGGACCAGAGGAGTCATGGGGGCCGGCGACGGGAAACCAGGAGGCAGGACCAGGGAAGTCTCAGGGGCCGGCGACGGGGGACCAGGAGGCGGGACCAGGGAAGTCTCGGGGGCCGGCGACGGGGAACCAGGAGGCGGGTCCAGAGGAGTCATGGGGGCCGGCGACAGGAAACCAGGAGGTGGGACCAGGGAAGTCTCAGGGGCTGGCGACGGGGGACCAGGAGGCGGGACCAGGGAAGTCTCGGGGGCCGGCGACAGGGAACCAGGAGGCGGGACCAGAGAAGTCTCGGGGGCCGGCGACGGGGAACCAGGAGGTGGTACCGGGTAAGTCTCAGGGACCGGCGATGGGGAACCAGGAGGCGGGACCGGAGGAGTTTTGGGGGCCGGCGACGGGGGACCAGGAGGTGGGACCAGAGAAGTCTAGGGGGCCAACGACAGGGAACCAGGAGGTGGGACCGGGCAAGTCTCGGGGACCGGCGACGGGGAATCAGGAGGCGGGACCAGAGGAGTCTTGGGGGCTGGCGACAGGGAACCAGGAGGCAGGACCAGGAAACCCTGGGGATAGGGGGTTTTGGAGGAGGAGGACGAGGAAGGGTCTCTGGAGATGGGGACTGTGACTGGAACACTTGAGACTTGGGAGACCGGAACACTTGCGGCTGGGAGACTGGAACTCTCGTGACTAGGAGACCTGAGACTTGGGAGACTGGAAGACTTGTGGGGAGACTTGAGACTTGGGTGACTGGAAGACTTGTGGGGAGACTCGAGACTTGGGTGACTGGAAGACTTGTGGGGAGACATGAGACTTGGGTGACTGGAAGACTTGTAGGGAGGCTTGAGACTGGAACACTTGAGTCTTGAGGGACTGAAACACTTGAGGGGTCTGGAAACGGGGTGACGTCTACTTCAGAGCCGGAGGCTGGGGCTACAACTTAAGACACACAACATGCCCCAGAACATGACAAGGCTTCTCCAGAAGCGAGAGTTCTGATAACAACATTCCACATTTACACCATCCATTTTGCCTCATTCACAACTAGATCCATTCATCACATAGAGTTTAAAGGCCCAATGTGTGATATTTCATCTTATAAGTTATCAAATTTCTTGTATCACATTCTCAAATTTGTTTTTTTTTAATGATAATTCAACAAGCATTTATTCTAAGCATTATTATTAGCTTTATATTTTAATATTTTAGACAAAAGAAGCAGACCGGTGCTCCATATGGCATGCGCCATCTTAAAATACAGTGACCTTTTAGGGACATACAACATATTAAGCTTCGCATTTGATGTTTGCGTTTTTAAATGATGTAACCTCAAAGAAACAGCAGGGGGCAGAAGTGCGCCTTGTAAGCATGCAGTCTGACAAAGTAACTAAGAAGAAGAAGAAACTAGCCACACCGTACTTCTAGCGATGGAGGATCACACATATTCTACAAGCAAACTTGAGAAACGGGATAGTTTGTCTCATCCAAGTAAAAGAAAAAGGATTTTGAAAAGTGAACAAGACCGGCGTCATGAGAAAACCAGAGTAAATATAGGAGCAAATATACGTTGCGGCTGGTTTGAGCAAATTCGGCTCCTTCATCTTGGGATGCTTGCCCTGCTTCTGTCGCATGTCTAACACCTCTGCCTCTCTGTGCGCTGGCACACGTCTGTCCTCTCCCTCTCCCTCTTCCTCTCCCTCGTCCTCTGTCTGTCTCCACTGATGAACCATCGGATGATATCTGACTCTGTTTACGGAGAGAAAACAATTACAGACTACACTACCTTGTATATTTCCAAAATGGCAAATAGAAATATAACATTTCTCAAATAAAATGAACAAAATATTGTCATTTTTTGTAGTCAGAAGTCATCACTAACTAGCTGCCGTTTGCTATTAGCAAACATAACTGACATAAAAAAGTTTTTCTTATTCAAAACCTATTTAGATTAAATTAATAAAATAAGTTAGATGAAAACAACTAACCTGTTCGCTGACTTGAAAGCTGGAATTAGATGATGACATGCTGCCGTTTACAGCAACACGATTTTGTATTGTATTTGTTATATTTGTTAATAAAGTTTTAAATAATGATTAAAAAAACCCTTTTTGATCCTCGGGGGCTCCAATAGCTGCAATACCGACTCTAAACTGCGTGGTGCTAAAGAGTCGGATCTTTTTACTATGATTTCTGTGAATTTCACACACGGGGCCTTTAAAGTTAGAGTTAGCCTTGTTTTAAATTGTTTAGAAATAAATCTTCTTAAACTTTAAAACTTGTCCCTCTCTTTTTGACTCTGGGTTATTATGAAGTGTTACCTAATCCCTGCAATAAAAAGTTACGATCTTCTGGTTAAAGGTAGTATTCAAAGATACATCAAATTTAATTCATATTTTCTATGGAATCTCACCTTCGATGGTTTCCTACGTAAGATGTAACTATTGATCCATTACATCAAGTATAAAAAAGATTTTAAAAAATGATTAAAAATTTGTTTAAAATTAGAAAATAAATTGTGATTAAAAATTTAATGTAAGGAAACGGAGAGAGAAAATGAATAGGAAAGAGGGAAATAAGGGGATCACGGGAAAGGCGGCATAAGCAGAATGAGCAGTCTAAGGAGAGGGTGGTAAGTAAGTAAGTAAAAGTTTATTTATATGGTGATGTAGGTCACGCCAAAGCCTGAACAGGTGAGTCTTCAGCAGCTTTTTAAAGGAGACCACTGATCTCAGGCTCAGAGGGAGAGAGGTCCAGAGTCTGGGGGCCACAGCAGCAAAGGATCTGTCACCTTTGGTCTTTAGCCTGGTGCTGCACAACCATGGATTGATGTCCATGAACACACTCATTCAGACTCTTGGAGTAAAATAATGCCCACTGTGCATGTGTGCAGCTTCGGTCTGACGTCTTTCCGCCTTTGCAGACGCTCAGGACAAGTGGAAAACATGGCAGAAGTTTTCCTGCTCTCCTCCCGTGTGGCAGAGGAGCGGTAGCGTTAAGTACCACTGAGCCTGTAGCTTAGTTAAAGGCATCAGTGAAACAAATGCATACAGGTCAATAGGTCCATAATGGGGGATAAAGCATAAGTCAACAGATAAAGATGGAGAATAAGAAAATAGAATACGAGGGGATAGACATGGGGTCAAGATGACGTTTGTTTACAATCTTTTTCCCCCGGAAAGACAACCCTGTGCATGCTCAACCTATTTCATCTGACTGAATGGGTGGTGCATACTCACAGCATGATCAGATTATTTCAGTTAGTGTCCATGTAAACTCCTGAAGACCCAGCTCTTCAGAGAGCATCTTCTAAACTAGCACTCTCCCAGCACCCGTCCCCCCCTCTACAGCACACTCCATGTTCGCTTCCCTCTATGATTGATTATGCTGCCTCACTGCTACCCAGGATTGACTTAATAGTGTTGTTAGCCTCAAGGGCAACCTGCTGGCCTGTAAGTCTCTTTGGACAAAAGCATCTGCTGAACACATAGACAGAGATTTGGGATTTCCGATCAACCAAGATTTGAGTCGGATAGAGGCAATGCGGCACATGTAAACATAGCTAGTGAACAGAGCTTGGGAAGTGGGTTTAGTTTATATCTTTCACTTGAACCTTGGTGGAAAACACCAGCGAAGGTTAATCAGATGCTTTTATTCACATAAAAGCACACTTGACATTTTAAAGGAGCCTTCTTAAGGACCTGAATCAGGAAACAATCGCTCCTCCGTCTCTTCAGATGATGCAGAATTAAAGGTAGACTAGAGGAAAAAGGCACTTGATGCACTTTCATAAACCAAAACATGTTCTCGTTGGATTATTGGGTCAAGCCTTTATTTTAAATGTTGAGAGGGTGTTTAAATACACACATGTTGGTGATATTTCTCTTACCTGCATGGAAACGGTGTGTGTTTGTCTCCTAATGCTAACGCTGTGTAGATGCCCGTTGGCCATGCCCCTCACGCCGCTCCTCAACACCTCAGCATCTCGACTGCTGTCCAGCTTGTATCTCACCTCCAGCTTATCTGAACACAAAGGTGTTATTTTTTTAATTAAACTTTTATTCGTGTGATGAACGCATCCTCGTCTTTGTTCCCTGATCTCCACTCGAGGAGACGCTCATCACCTCAGAAGAATCGGAGCGATGAGGATCTGAGTTTATAAAGCTTTTCAACCTAAAGGGATTAGGAAATAAGTCCTTATTTATAACAAAACTCCAAATCTAATTAATTTTCCAAACACTGGGGGCATTAGAAGTGGATTTATGAAAGCTTGATCACCCCATACCTGATCAGATAAGAAAAGATGTCCTTGGATTTCATACATGTTTACTAGAATTAATCCATCTAAGAACATTTCATGATGAGGTTACTTCTCCTTTAATAAAAAAACTGTTTGTGGTTTTCAGATTCCAATCATGTGACCTCTTAGAGGAAAAAGGTTTTCTTTTTAGTCTGCCTTAAAAGGTTTACCGGGAGCAGAGAAAATTAGAGGAACAAAAGCAAAACTCTGGGATTTCTTTGGACACTCTTGGCTTTAAGAGCCTTGCCGTGACGGCTCCACGGCCCTAATGTCCTGCTTCCCATTAGCTTTCACCGAGTCATTAAAGCCAGGAAAAGAATCTATTTAAAGCCAATCTCGCTGAAAAGTGGCAATTTTCCCAGACTCCCGGAAGCAGGAGTAATTTTAAGTTCAAAGTTTCTTCGCTGCAACTCCTTAAAGCCACAAGTTAATTATTTAACAAAGTTTGCTGCTGTTTTATTCAGCATTTCACTGATCCATCACTTATTAGCAGACAAACGAAGCTTTGGCTCGGCTCGTTTACGGGATCTGTCACTCGTTTGCCTCACCATGCTTGTTGATGAGCAGAGCCACGTGTCCTCTGTAGAAGGAGCTGATGTAAAGGAGCAGAGCTGGACTTTGTGTCGTCCTGAAACTCAGAGAGATGTTTTCTCCTCTCGGTGTTGAGTCGGAGTAGATGGAGGAGGGCAGGTGGCTGCTGTTTCTGCTCCACTCGTACGGATCCTTGAAGCTGTATCTGATGGACGTTCCCGCCTTAAAACTGCCTGACAACTCTAGAGAGGAAAAGAAAATCACTTTCCTGCATCAATGCCAGAAAACGCTTTTTAGAAATTAAATAAAATATGAGACGCTTCTGCACTGTTTTGAAGAAACAAACTTTTCAGTCATTCTATCAAATTTCTTGTTAATTTTGTGAAATTTGTAGAAAATATTCAGATTTTTATTTCAAGGTTTTTAATGATGAATTGACGCTTTGATCAACAGGTCAAATGCATTTTAGTCCCTGTTTCTGGTTGTAGGTGAATAAAAAACATCCATTAAATACAACAAATATGAGACATTTGTAATAAAAGTCAACGAAAAAAACACACTGAAATAAATGTTTTTTTGGCCCTGTAATTATTATTTCAACTATCTATATAAATTCTACAAAAACAATATGAATTCACAGTTTTTACTTTAAAATTGCTATTTTTCATGTAGTGCATTACTTGGCGATTGTCTATAACGCCCTCCTAGTTGGTGTTCCGGTCTCTGCCCTGAATCGGTCCTGGCACTTCACTGGCTCCCTGTCACTTTCAGAGTACAGTTTAAGTTATTGACGTTTGTATTTAAATCACTCAACGACCTGGCACCTCCCTATCTCTCTGAGGGTGGAATATCTGCAGGGAAGGATATTGTATTTACCCACACACAAAAATCCCAAAAAGCAGACCAAGGCCCAGATGCCTGAAATCAACCAAGGCTTCCCACCACTGACCCCAAATGAGCAATCCCAGCTTTACAACAGCCTGTCCTAGTGCTCTGCAAAAGATGGAAAAACTATAAATCCAGTAGTCCTATCGCTTGTCAGGGAGCACTCTGAATCATATGTGCCTAAAATAGTGAGTGTAGATCTTCCAGATCCCCTCACATGCCTTCATGACAAAGACATGAGAGAAGTGAGTCAAGATGAGCTGCAGAAAAGAGCAGAAGCTTTGTTTGAACAGTTGTCAGTGAGTAAAGAACAGGTAATGTATCAACTGTCCTCTCTGCCTTCATAAGGTTAGTCACATTTGATATATGTAGTAATTACTATTGCATTTTCAGAGTGAGGTGGTGGAGAAGCAGACATGAGATCAGGAAAAGTAAAAAATGTGGTTTGAACAGAGAGCCGGCAGAATTACTGCATCCACATTCAGAGCAGCAAGTAAAACAGACATCAGGAAGCCTTCAGTATCTCTTATCAAAAAATATGTGTTGTCCACAGTCTTACAGTTTTTCAAATGAAGCAACAAGGTATTTTCTGTCTTACACAAGGTTGTGGTTTGCGTAGGCATTTTTAGTTTTGAAATGAATGTTTATCTGATATTTAACATCTCTTTCTTCCTATCTGCAGATGGGGCTGTAAACATGAAGCTGCAGCACGACAACACTATGAAAACCAACATCGTCTCACACATTCTGATGTTCTGGTCGAAAAGGCTGGGTTCACAATCTCAACCACTCATCCATTTATTGGAGCATCACCGGACGGCTTTGTGTCTTGCAGCTGCTGTGGTACTGATGTCATGGAAATCAAGTGTCCCTTTTGTGCCAAAGATTTAACTGTTGCTGTTGCGGTAAAAAATACAAGTTTCTGTCTTGAAAAAGACCAAAGTGGAAACATGAGACTGAAACATGACCATAGTCACTTTTATCAAGTTCAGATGCAAATGTTTGTGACTGGCAAATCATATTGTGACTTCATTGTTTGGACTGATGAGGATTCTACGTCACCTTTTGTGGAACGGATCTTGCCAGATGACAGTTTTTAAAAAAAAGAACTACTGATTGCTAAAGAATTCCATAAAACATGTGTCCTTCCCGAGTTAGTAGCCAAGGTTTTCTCTGCATCTAAACTCGAGTGTGCTAGTGGTCCACAGTGGTGCTGTTGTCGAGAGTCAGAGTCTGATAGCATGTTGCTTTGTGCGTCTGGATTTTGCTCTGTAAAGGGGTTTCGTCAAACCTGTCTGGGAATCAAAAGGGTATGTCATGGTCTGCGTCCTGCGTCTCCCTCATGTGTCTCCTTGTGTTCTCCATCCCTCTCTAGGTTTCTCTTATGTGTCTCCTTGTGTTCTCCATCCCTCTCTAGGTTTCCCTTATGTGTCTCCTTGTGTTCCTCATGTGTTTCCTTGTCTGCATCCCTCCTCATGCACCTCCTTGTGTTCCCCAGCCCACTCCAGGTTTCCCTCAGGTTTCCCCCGTAGTGTTTTCAGATGCAGTAATCCCATCCCTGTTTTTCTTCTGGTGTCTTGTTTTCAGGTTTTAAGAGTTCATTCATCTTTAGTTCTCTCTAGATTTATTTTACCTAGTCAGTTTTCCCCACTCAGTTAATTAGTCTCACCTGATTCCTTCTGATTACTCCCCACACACCTGTCACCCGTCTCCCTGATTGTTTCCCTTTGTGTATAAAACCCTGTTTGCGTCTCAATGTGTTGTCGGCCCATTGTTTGTGTCAGCGTCGTCTCGTTCCCTCTCTTGTTCTCTTGGTATTAGGAAATCTCTAGGTATCTTGGTTTTTGGATATCTCCAGGTCTGCTCTTTAAAGGGGCACTTGGTCTCTAGGTCTCCAGGAATTACGCATTAGGATTTTGGATTTATGTTTTTGGCTCCCCGCCCTTTTTGGAGTTTTACTTTGGACGTTTATCCCTAATCAAGGACTTTACTTTTTTCTACAACTCCTGCCTCGTGTCATCCTGGTTACTGCATCTTGGGTCCTAACCTCCACTAACTCACAACGTGACAGGGTACCTAAACAGTGGATCTGTCCCACCTGTAGAAAAATCAAATCACAAAAGAACAGCTAGTCCAACAGTGTTTATTTGATGGACAACTTCAATGTTCCTGAATCTGTACAAATATCACATTTCTTTAACAGTTTATTTTTCAGTCTTCTGTATTGAAAACTTAATGTAGTCCTTACACTGATCTTAAATGCAAATCAAATTGTAATCACACTACTTGTAGCCTACTGGGTGGGTACAACTGATTCACATACATTTGTGAGAGCACAACACACCTTCATAATTTTATCTATTTATCACATCATTTTCTTTGTCAATGTCAGTAAATGTAATGGGTATGGAGCTTTGCAATAAAGTGTATTTCTGACGAACAACTCCTATGACCCTTTCAATGTGTATCCTGAGTGATGCTAAGCATCGGGTGCTTTCAAGGTCAACAGGATCTAACAATTTTTTACCACGGGTAAAAGCTGGAATCTTTATGTCAGCTTGGAAAGATTGTACAGACTGTCTCACGTTAAAGCTCCTGTCTGCCAAAACTAGATCTCCTGGAAGTAAGTGTGATAAAAAGTTACTATTTTCTGTGATGAACTTGTCACTTGTGCAGCCTCCCCACCCATTAGAAATAAAACAAATAGATCCCTGTGGGCTAATGGCAATCAAATATTTCATAGTGTGATGTGATTTGTATGTAGAATAACACTGGGCACTGGCTAAAAGATTACTTGGCTTTTCAATGAATATTTCAAAGTAGTCAATAATACAGACAGTTTTCTCAAAGTGTTTGTTACAAATTGCACGTGGTAGAGTTTGTCTCAAAATATCTCTTTACAAGGGCGTAGGAACCGGGGGGGACAGGTGGGACGTGTCCCCTCCAATACTGGACAAACGCGCATTGCCCCCCCCCCCCCCCCCAAATAACATGGAGAAGAAAAAGATTGATTTTGAAATATTTGACTCGCGAGCTTTTATTTTGAAAGACACCGCAGACTTCTCTCCGACACAGCCCCTCCCCTCAGGGAGTTAGAGACAGACGGCAGCAGCTCAGCGAGTTATTCTCATGGGCAAAAAAGGAAAGAAAGGAATAGTGAGTTGGTAATAATTTAGTCCAAGAGAATAATTGTATTTCTGGTCAAACGCTAAAATGGCTGACTAACGTAAACATCTTGCTAGTTAGCATTAAACATTAAACAACACTACTAGTCAACAAAAAATGGCGAATTTGACAGTAACAGACAAAAACCATTTGACACGAAATAAATAAAAAAGTAGAATTTCCACATAAAAATGGAGTTTGTAAGGGTGATTGTTGCTTTTTTTCTCTCATGTCCCTTTTTTCATATGAGAGACCAGAGGAAGTTCAGCAGGAAAATGATGAAGGTGAGACAGGCAGCGCCAGACCTGCTGAGGGTGACACAGGGAGCACCAGACCTGCTGAGGTGCAGGTAGGTGCTACAGTGGAGTGAGATTTTAGATGGTTGATGATGAGAGGAAGATTAGAGCATGATAACAAGTGAACACGACTAAATAATACTATAACAACCATGATTTTAATGTTGCACTGGTCATCCAACAGTATTTTTTACTCCTTATTCATGTCCACTGTTTTTATATTAAAGATCAGATGAAGTTCAGCAGGAACCAGTTAAGGGTGAGACAGGGAGAGCCAGACTTGCTGAGGGTCAGTGGCGTGTCCAGATCTTTTAAAATGGGGTGGCCCAGGTGAGGCACAACTTTGTGCATGGGTGGCACCAATGGTTATGCTTTTTTTGTTTTACCTCCAAGCCTTTTGTGGACAATGAAAAGCCTATTTAAAGGTAAATTAGTGTGGTGGCACCTGGGGTGGCCAATCAGATTCCAAGGGTGGCATGTGCTACCCCAGGCCACTCCCTGGACACTCCCCTGCTGAGGGTGAGACAGGGAGAGCCAGACCTGCTGAGGTGCAGGTAGGTGCTACAGTGAAGAATGAGATGGTTTTAGGTTGCTGATGAGAGGAAGATGATGATGGAGTTGATTTTTTATGTGTTACCTGGGCACTCTAAATATTTATTTAAAATTAAATCAAAGGAAATTGTAATGGTATCGAATGTTTATTAATTGCTATTTAAAAAATGAAAGTGATGGGGAACAAGGTCAATCATATTTTTTTTACCCTGTCTGTTTAGCTTGACGTCCAATATATATATATATATATATATATATATATATATATATATATATATATATATATATATATATATATATATATATATATATATATATATATATATATGTATTTATAGCCATGCCCTGATGTGGGGGCTGGGGGTGTGTCGACATGGTCGGGACATAGAAGGGGGTGCGCGGCTAAATAAGTTTGGGAACCACTGATGTAAGCCATTTCTATCCCCTAGTTAACTAGTGGGCCATGTTTGTGTCAACTAGTTAACTAGTGAGGGTCAAAATGTGCACACTAGTTAACTAGTGGCAGACAGAAATGTGCCCTAGTTAACTAGTGAGGGTCAAAATGTGCACACTAGTTAATTAGTTAACCAGTGAATACATTTTGGCTTCACTAGTTAACTAGATGACACAAAAATGGCTCACTAGTTAACTAGTAAAGGCAAAAATGCATACCAGTCAGCTAGCTGAAGGTATTTGTGTCTCATTAGTTAACTAGTGAGGGTCAAAATGTGCACTAGTTAACTAGTGAATGATGGGATCGTGTGACGTCACCTCCCGGAGCTCTATAGTGCCTCTCAAGATAAAAATCACGAGGCGCTTCACAAAAACAAAACAAAAGAAAAATGGAAAAATATAAAATAGAATTTAGAAAATGATCATAAATATATTTAAAATGAGCAAAAATAGACAATTGTGACTAAAAAGTGTAAAGAAAGAGAAAGAGTGAATAGGAAAGAGGGACATCAATGGATCCTGAGGAAGGTGGAATAGGTGGGGAGAGCAGAATAAAGAGAGTGGTGAAGAAGGTCGTACAAAAGCCAGCCTGAACAAGTGAGTTTTCAGCTGCTTTTTAAAGGAGACCACTGATCTCAGCCTCAGAGAGTACCAGAGTCTGGGGGCCACAGCAGCAAATGATCTGTCACCTTTGGTCTTTAGCCTGGTGCTGCACAACCAGTAGGCTTTGGTCACTGGACCTCAGGGACCTGCTGGGGGTGTAGGGATTAAGAAGATCCCCAATGTAAGATGGTGTTTGTCCATGTAAGGCCCTATAGACCAGAACCAGGATCTTGAAATGAACCCAGAAGTTGACTGACAGCCAGTGAAGCTGGAGGAGAAGCGGGGTGATATGGGTATATTTGGAGAACTTGGTCAGAAACCTTCCAGGAAATATTCTGTCAGAAATATTCCAGGAAACCTACAAAACTTTTTATGTAACATTCTCTTGATCTTCCCTGCAGGGAGAACCAGTCACATGACTGAGGTAACATTTTATTTAGAAAATTCTAATAAATCACTGGAGATGTTTTTTATTTGAAATTCACAAGAATGGTGAAACACTAATCACAGATGACACCTTCTACATTTGCTCCTGTTTCACTGAAACTTGTAGTTTTGTGTGTTTGTGCAGCTTCACAAACTCATCAGCTGACAATTAAAACTCCTCCTGTGATGCAGCCTGCTGACGGCTCTAAATGCATCAGATTACAGCAGCCGGTGGAACCGAGTCTTCTAACAGAACCGACTGAGACTGGTGAACCTGAACAAAGTTCAACTATTCTCCACAGACTCGAGATGTGTTGAACCTTTGATGTCATGCGGAAGCCGAGTGCGTTTTAATGAGCGTTAAGTGCAGCGAACGAAGAAAGTGATGTATATGCTAGATTGTTAACCTTTAAAATATCCCACCTACACACACACATACATGCACACACACATACACGCACACACACAGCATCAGGAAGATTTCTGTAACTTCTGTAAGTCATTGTCAACTCCATCATTTGAGTCGTGTGTTATGAAAAATAAAAGTTTAATTTTTTATCGGGAGTTTTGATTCTGGCTTTTAGGTTCTTTTATCTTTTAAAGAGGTTTTTCAGCTTTCCTTGAGAAAAGATTTTTTTTATGATTTAGTTCAGATTATAATCGGTCACTCTGAGTTTTTCATGCAGGCTGAACATAAAAATAGTCTCCTACACCTATCTCCTGCATTAGCTTCTGATGGAAATAGACGGTGAAACTCTAGGATTAGAAAATTTTGACAGATCTACGTCAGGCGGTCGCTTGGACTAACGCATACTGGCTCGCAGCGGGGAAGGCTGTTGTTGGTTTATCATTCAGGAAACACCAGAGACAAGTAGAAGCTAACTGTTGACATTAGCAGCTCCACCGCACAGCAGAATGCCTTCAAATGTTTATTTATTTATTATGTTTATTTATTTGGCAGACGCTTTTATCCAAAGCGATTTACAATTTATAACCTAAAGGGCATGTTGTGATCTGTGGGGGAAACCGGAGTACCCGGAGGAAACCCACGCATGCATGGGGAGAACACGCAACTCCACGCAGAAAGGCCACAGCCGAGTTTCGACCCTGCGACCCTCGTGCTGCGAGGCAACAGTGCTAACAACTGCGCCACCATGCAGCCTTGTGTTATTTGTAGAGATAAAACATCAACGTTGCAAAGCAAACTGAGTCAGTGTTGCTGTTAGCCAATCAGAGGAGGGCTGTGCATGTGTTGTCTGAAGCTACTTTCTGCTCTGGCTGAATTCTGTGTACTGAAACAGACACACCGGAGGCTTGTTTTTCCCCAGAGTACGACTTTTAAGACATTTGTTTTTACTAGAGTTCACTGCAAATGTATAAACAATAAGAGTGAAGGACTTCTTAAAAAAAAGGATATATGAGTGTCTCTTCATGTTTAATGAATAGCTGCCTTAAATGTTTATTTAAATTCCTAGAAAAATAAATGTTGAACGTGGGGGCTTGTCGGGGATTTGACCCTGCAAAATAACAAACAAGAACTGCAAATATATTAAATTGCCACAGCAGCAAATTACTTCAGAATAAATGCAATATTTTATTGTTCAAAAGCTAAATGGAGCTAAACTGTGTTTAATGTAAAAGTCAATTTAAAGTTTTGGAATCGGACATTTTATTTTTCCAGTATTTTAAACTTGTGCAGATTTTCAAATCAGTGGAATACGTTTTAATAATGGCTGTCCAGCTGTGTGAGCTGACAAAAGTAAAAATGGATGGAGATGTCAAAAATGTTCATTATTTAGACATTTCTGTAAAAAATATTTACCAAAAGATTTTAAAGAAAATGAATCAGTTTTCATGGTGTTAAAACTGCGGTCATGGAAGTAATTTGACTGTGTAGGTATGATTTTTCATTCATGATGAACTTTTAGAAGTTGCTTCAGAAGACGCTCCAGTGCTCGCTGGTGCTTTAAGACAAGTTTTGACCATAAAAGGAGTTTCTGATTGAAATCCAGACTGAACACTTTACAGTTTGATTTTCACCTTTACATCAGCAGAGAGAGAGAGATAGAGATAGAGAGAGAGAGAGAGAGAGAGAGAGAGAGAGAGAGAGAGAGAGAGAGAGAGAGAGAGAGAGAGAGAGAGAGAGAGAGTGTGTGTGTGTGTGTGTGTGTGTGTGTGTGTGTGTGTGTGTGTGTGTGCGTGTGTGTACCTGTCTGACAGAAGATTCCAGTGTAGGCAGACGAGCTGCAGTCACAGGAGAAACCGCTGGGTTTCTCCACACAGCGACCCTGGTTCTGACACAGTGGCCCGTAGCTGCTGCAGTGACCCGGGCAGCCGGGTCGAACCCCAGGTGTGATCTTGGCCCTTTCCTCCAGGTCCAGAGTGGCGCCGTTCAGCTTCAGAGAGCGGATACACCCCCTGAACCCCCCCTGCCTGGACGCCGTTCCTCCTGGGAACAAAGTGAAAACAGTTTAGAGTGGTGAGAACATCAGAAATCCTTCCAGCAGCCTCTCCAGCGTCTGTCGTTTTGGCTCCAGAATCTCAATTATTGTCATTTCAACTGACAAGTCTGCATTTTTCCTTTTCTGAGGATTTGTGTTTTTTCCGCCTGACATTTACAACAAATCCACCTGTCACATCCGCTCCTCTGAAGCTTCAGATTGTCAACAGTTAGATGAGATAAACACAATTAGAAAGCAATGAGCTGTAGGTGGAGAGGCTGATTCAGAGACATGCCATTAGCTTTCTTTATGTCTGCGCAGCATCCTTCCTGCAGCAGAGCGGCTTATCAAGCGCCTGGCAGTCATGATGACTTATTGCCCCAGTCTTGTCAAAACGTCTGTCAGTGAGGAACAGGAAGAGATCCTTCTATCAACAACACATAATCTTCCATTATGTTAATGGTTACTTTCCTCAAATTACAGAATTAAAACAAAGTTTTGTGGGAATTTTTCTGAATAGATTTGGGGGAAAGAATATTCATATGTTTTTATTTATAGGTTAAAATCTACATTAGTTCTCAGAATTTGAACAAAAAATCAAATAAAATAGAACTTTAAAAACCATAAAAAAGAGGTGTTAATATTACAGCTTTTATTTGTTCTCATGTATAAAAATTGACTTAATTATTTATTTATTTCATTTATTTATTTGTCATTCAGTTTTTCAAATATTTAAAATATAGATTTTAACAGACAAAAATAGTTTTCCTTGACATCTAAAACATTTAATAACATAATGCAGATTTTATAAATTAAACAATTACCAATGTGCATTTTGTTGAAATAATCCTAATTTGGTGTGTTTGCGTGGCTTAGTAATTTCAAACCAATAATAAAAAAAACCTCAAACGTAATATGAATCTGTTCGTTTCTGCCGTTAAGGGTTCTGTTTAAGGAGTGCCATCTTGAGAATCTGGACCTGGAGAAGAACTCGTGTAAAATTAGAGCTGCAGCATTTCAAACGCATCTTCAGCAACACAACTTCACTTCAAACATGTCCAACGTGTTTAATCATCAGTTGAAGCCAGAACAAGAAATTCGCCTTTAGAGGTGAAACATCTCTTGGAAAACCCCTGAAGTGTTTGAGGAGGTGAGATCAAAGCAAAGATCAAAACCGCCACACGCAAAACTCAGCTCCCGACCAGAGGAGCATCAGTGAGACCTTCAGCGTTAACATGACCGCCACAAGCTCTGGACAGTAGAGTGAGTTCACTCTGTTACTGCAGCCTCAGAGAAAATAAGGCAATAAAAACCATTAATGGAATGGCGATTAAAGTGATGATCAAAGTTCAGATACAAAGAATTTTGACAGGAAGATTCAGATGGTGAAGAAAAGCCCAAAACGTTTGAGTCAAGAATTCGGAGCAGAAAAATGATATAGGACCCGCACTTGTACAGCACCTTTCAGAGTCAGAGGACTCCAGAGTGCTTTACACTACAGTGTCTCGTTCATCCATTCACACACTGATGGTGATGAGCTACAATGTAGCCACAGCTGCCCTGAGGTGCACTGACAGAGGCGAGGCTGCCGAGCACAGGCGCCACCGGTCCCTCCGACCACCACCAGCAGACGAGGTGAGTTAAGGGTCTTGCCCAAGGACACAATAGCAGAACTCAAATCTGCAACCTTCTAATTACAGGACAACCCGCTCAACCACTTGAGCTACTGCTGCCAAAAGCAAAAAGATCTCAAGTCTGAACAAAACTCTGCTCATAAGAAGGAAATTATTGTCTACAGATGTGAGATTCTACATGTTTTCTGTATACATAATATTATCCAGCTTTCCATTTTTATCTGTTTAATCCAGGTTGAACAAGGCCCAGTTCACACGACAGATTAATAGTGCCAATTTCTGACCCCAATCCTCCCCTTCCAGAAATCAACTTTAAAGATTATCTTATCAGATTTGCTCACCATGTGTGGTCTCCAATCATAAATCCAGACTTTCAAACATTTGGGAATGTCCTGATCTCTACTAAGAAATCACAATGTAGGCGGTAAAACGCCTTTTGTGTGTGTGTGTGTGTGTGTGTGTGTGTGTGTGTTCTTGTACTTACTACCTACTGAGGACCATCGTGAGGTTTTAACCGACAAAGTGAGGACATTCTTCTGGTCCTCACTTTATTTTAAAAGCTTACCAGTGGGTTTTAGAAGTATTGTGTGAGTTGAGTTTTATTTGAGGTTAGGGTTAAGAATGAGCAGCATTTGTTAGAGTTAGGGGAGTCACTAAAATGAATGTAAGTCAGTGGCGGTCCACACAAACAGATAAATACAATCAAAAAGCGAGCTGATGGCAGCACGCTCCTCCGCCACCATGTTTGTTTGCTGTGAAGTCATGTGGGATCTCCTGAGATTTTCCATCTGACCAAGGGAATGTTGGTGCGTGAAATTGTATTATGTGTGCTTTTTGCTGTTTCCACACACACAGTAGGACTAAAACCGGTATATTTGGGAATTTAAAAAAAAATCGTCCAACAGTTTAAGAATCCTGCAGTGTGAACCGAGCTTAACGGGTCTAGGAAGGAATCCAAGGCACCTCTCTTTCCAGAAACACACTCCTGCTTTCCATGAGAGACCTGGGAAAGATGGATCTCCTCAAAAGGGATTTAAGGATGTAGGAATTTTGTACTTTTATTCAGTTTGTGCCCCCTCATCCTGGGGGCTAAGAGAGTCGACCTCTGGTAGGGTCTCTCATGACCTTAGCAGAGGGGTGATAAAAATGATTTTTAAACAGTATAGGTCCTCCTTCGGTATAGGAAAACTGCCCTTCCTTTAGGAAATCCTGGGAAGGAGCTCATGCATTATTAACTGGTTGATTCTTGGGGTTTGGTGGGAGGAAGCCTCATAACTCAGGCTTAGGGTCTGGATAGTTTTGTTGTGCTTAAATGTTTGTGCAACACATCATCTGGAAGTGAAACATCCAACTTTTGATAAGTTATTTCATTTTATTATCTATTAAAGAAAAGACGTGTTAATTGGTATTTTGCCTGGGAAACATTTGACAGCTTATCAGTCCAAACCAGACTGTGCAGCAAGTAATGAGCCAGAATCCGTCCTGCATGTTTTTACAGCCGTGGTAGAGAAAAGAAACAGGAAGTGATTCACCAGACTGTCCAATAGCTGCGTATCCAACCCCATCACAAAGATTATTTATAACTGTGATTTGCTGCTTAATGAAGTCACTCGTTCTATAAATCTCACATGTTTCAGTAATTATAACCCTAACCCTAATCCTAATCCATGCACATTAGGAATACTGACTTTAAATGGGTGAAATAGGATTAGAATTAAATATTGTGGACAATAAAATGTGTTTTGGGTCATTTGATGTTATAAAAATATTACTATGACTTTTTAAAGGCAAAATAAATAACAGAGGAGCAGTATTATGGAGCTGGATACTTTGTTTACACATTTAATATTTAGTTAACGTTTAAGATTTTAGGTCCACTCACGCAGTTCCTCCTGGTGAATCACCTGTAGGTAGTGGACCCTGTTTCCTGGTTCTTTTACTCCCAGTGGGGCTGACCCGGACCCACTTAGCATCGTCACTAATACACTCTAAAAATGACCACACTTTAGAAGCCTCAGTTAACTTGATTTATACAGCAGAAAGCAGAGAAAATGATGCAAAGACCTGTTAAACCACTACAAGTCATGAGCACCCCCCAAAAACATCTCGATCTTCCGCCTACATCGTCTTCTGTCCCTTGCACTCGACTCCACCCATGCCGTCACCAGGGCCTTCCTCTCCAATGGATGTTTCCAAAAAGGCTGTTAGCAAGACTCAGTGATGCCAAGGTCTGATTCTACTGAGTAACAGCTCGTGTTGGGACTACTCTGATGAGCGCATATCGATGGTGACAGAACTGAGACCTTCAACAGGGGGGCAAAAAGGTTTAGCAGCAAAAATCCATGCCCATGAAAACCTTTTCATGTGCTCCAAACAACAAAAACTACAGTCAAATGAGAGATCAGAAACCCTTCTTCATATGTGACTGTTTTTGCCACATATAAAGCACATATACAACACAGCGGCCTAAGCAGGGAGGCCCAGACTTCCCTCTCCCCAGCCACTTGGGCTAGCTCCTCCAAGGGGAGGAGGTGTTCCCTGGCCAGCTGAGAGACATTGTCCCTCCAGGTCTCCCTTTAGGTCTCCTCCTGGTTGGAGGAAGATGTTTCAGGAATAAACCATGAATTGTTATGTGTCTGTCCGGCACGGCTGAAGGTTTTGAGAATCTATTCATTTTAAAAACCGGAAAAGTATATGTTCAAGCTTTAGCTGACAGGAAAAAAAGAGTTTTTAGCTGTAATCCAATAAAAGCATCCCTCCTCACCTATAAACAGCTGACTGTTGAGCTGCAGGTGAACGTGTCCATCAGTCGGAGCCTGCTGAGTGGCGACAGGTAGGTCGTCAAGCTGAAGAGATGCCTCCTTGATGTTCCGCTCAGCTCGGACTCGATGCCACCGGCCGTCATCCAGCGGGACCCTCGACTCCACCTTAACCTCCAGGGGACCGTTACCAACGTCAAAGGAGAAAACCACCCAGGTGGAGGCTTCATACGGAAAAGATGGATAGAATAAGAGGATGTAGGGAGAATTGGAGTCACTGGGTTTAGACTCTTGTGCACACCATCACACAGACAGAATCTGGTTCCACAGTGAATTAAATGAGTCTAGAATAGTATATCCTTGTTTTGGGGATGATTATTATTATTTTTAGTTGTTGAGTTGAGTTTTTGATAATGATGCACTTTTCAAAACTCAAAATCATTCAAAACAATGTAAATATGACCGAATGGCACCTTTTAAGAGACAGTTGCAGTTCAGAGGGAAACAAAAGCCAGTTAATTTGTTTTGACGCTAATTGCAAGCTGAAACTTAGCATTTGATTTATCCAAACAGGGCGCATTTATCTCCTTTTAATGAAGAACGGACATCTCTGTCAAACCTCTCTGAGATTCAGCTGTAGGAGACAGATGTTGTTTGCCAAGAGCAGCTGGAATACATCCCCTCTCACGTTCCCAAACTGCTCCCACAGCAGGTTTAAAATGTGCCAAGACCGCAGATGGGAATAAAACAGGAGCTCTAACAAGCAGGTTAGTGTGAGTCAAATGTATGGAGACAAAAGCAGGCAGGCAGAGGGATGTGAGGCTCCTGGATGGAAATTTAATTACTCCATCGCTGCAAAACAACAAACAATAAAGCAAACAGGCTCCTAACTAAGCAGACTGGGACCAGATCTCACAGGTTAACAAACAAACAAACAAACATCCATCCATCCATCCATCTATCTATCCATCCATTTTCATCCACTTATCCAGAGTCGGGTCACGGGGGCAGTAGCCTAAGGCAAGAGGCCCAGACTTCCCTCTCCCCAGCCACTTGGGCCAGCTCCTCGGGGGGAATCCCAAGGTGTTCCCTGGCCAGGTGAGAGACATAGTCCCTCCACCATGTCCTGGGTCTATCTTTAGGTCTCCTCCCGGTTGGACGCACCCAGAAAACCTCACCAGGGAGGCGTCCAGGAGGCATCCTGACCAGATGCCCGAGCCATCTCAACTGGCTCCTCTCGAACAAACAAACAAACAAAGCAAATTGGGGGTGCACGCTGATTACATGGAAACACCGAACATAGCCTCATTATTTCCAAGCTGCTTTCATTCACTCTTCTTTTCCGATTGGCCCTAAGTCTGGATAAAGGAAAGCAGACGGACAGGTGGAAAAAATTTTTTTTTTTATTGATGTCGGATAAACACGAGACTGAAGGAAACAGCAAAGAGAGCAGCATAAATAAACTAACATAGGTAAGCACGTTAACAGGCAGAGAGAACGGTGCTGACAGGGCTAAAAATGAGAAGAAGACTAAATAAAACATCAGAGGAGATATTAAACAATTCTGGAGATTTAGTAAATAACTGTCAGGAGGTGTTGCATGCAGGGGAGACATCTCAGGAGGCTGCAGGTAAACTCAAAAAACAATTCAGAAAGGGAAAACACTGGAAATTCACCAGGAACTCTAGAGAGGCTGACCCCTCATTTACACCGAACGCGGATCTGATGTGGTCCAGTTTCCATACAGCTTACGCGAAGAACTTAAATCACTGAGTCCAATCGAAGCATTCACACCGGCTGCGGAACGATGCAGATATGGATGCAGAGCTCTGGAAAGTTTCCACATGGATTCTACTTTTTCTTGATTTCGCATTTGGATCATCATGAAGTTAAAGAAATCCACAGAGGAAGGGGATTAGACGAGGAACACGTGTGTCTGATAATGGAGATCAGGGAAAACAAACAGGAACAGGGATGCAGTTCATGAGTTCATGAACAAAGACAAAGGTAATAATAATAATAATAATAACAAAATACAAATACAAAATGAGGGAAATGATCAACAGGAGCCTTCATAGAGCGGTGGTTCCCAAACTCAGGGTCAGGACCTCACTGTGCTTGCTGAATCTATTTTCTAGTGAAACTGTTACAAAAACTAATTTGTCATAAATGTGTATAGAAGAGCATTAGCTGCAGTTGTTTTCTTTATGCTCAGAATTTTTTAGCTTTGTAAGCATGTTTGCTTCATCATTCTACCAGAACCAGCGCTCTAGCGGACATTTGACTTCAGCATCTGAAGAATTAATGCAAATAACACGAAGATGGAGCTCAAGCAGCCCTGAGACCATTCACCCTTGTTCCCTCAGACAAAAAGTTGCATTAAACAAACAAACAAACAAACAAACAAACAATGTTTAAGCATTTTAAAAAAATCCAATTTAAAGACAAGTTTAAACCTTTTCCAATCCAGTACAACCTAATCCAACTACATTTCAGCCTCCTGGACCTAACTCTTGGTTATCACAGCAGTGAGACACGAGAGCAGCCTCATCAGCGTAGACCTTGTCCCTCTAAATCACGTTGTTCTTAAGCTGGTGTTTGCTGGATATGTAGAAAAATGCCAGGCGGGTTGCCAAACTACACACTGATTTACTTTTATTTTTAACCAGCATGTTCAAAACAGGACCCACCATTACCTCCTGTGATGCATTTATGCTTATTATCAGGTTTTTGTTTAGTTTATGACCTTTCAGACTTTTAGAACAGGTTTAAATTCAGAAACCTTTGGGGTAAAACTACAACATTAGTCACTGATTTAATGGTGAGGATGTAATAACTGTTCTTATACATATTAAGAGACTAGAAGACAAAAGAAAACAACAAAGAAGACAAAAAAACCCACATAAAAAATTATATATATAATTTACAGATGAAAAGTGGGAAATGTATCATATTAGAAAGGATTTTTTAGGTGAAACTAACAAGCAAACAGGTTACTAGAAAGTGGCAATGGTTGCTTTCTGAACACAATTTACTTTAATATCCAGCAAATAGCTCCTTAGCTGTTTAATTCTAGCTGTATTTAATAAAATCATGTCCCAGGACCAGTGTGTGTGTGTGTGTAATCCACACACTCTTCAGTTATGTGCGGTCCAGTTGGTGGCATGGGTTGGCTGTTTTTGATGATGTTGAAGACATTTGAAGACCAGACACAGATTGCAGCTTGGGGAGAGCCACCCCTGACATCGCTCTCCAGGGAAATCATTGTCTGTGTGGCTGTTCCAGCTCTGTTTACCGCCGTTCTGTTTCCATCCACCTCAGATTGCTCTAACATTGTAGCTGGGACCAAGAACAAATTTCTAAATAAGTTACCCGTGGATGTTGGGGTATTTTTTCATCTTGTTTTTGAGCTCCCAGAGCAATATATCCCTGCCTTCAGCCGGCAGAAACATAAAGTGTGGTGGTTTACTTCCTCTGCTCCCTTTTAAATGGTTTTGTGTTGATGGAGAGAACAGAAGATGGAAAGAACAGAAGACAGCCTGGAGGAAAGAGGTAAAGATGTTCAACACAGAGGAGCTGTCCACGGTGCTGAAACAGGCCTGCAGCTCTGATGGGGAAACTTGCAGAAGGCAGCACAAATATGGACTCAGCGTCCAACTAAAACAATAATTCTTCTGTGCAGCTGTGGACTTTAAAAGGCGCATTGAATCAGTCTAAATCAGCCAATCCTGGTGCTGCTATTCAGCCTGTTTTAGTTGTCCCCCTGCTCCAGCACACCTAATCCAATGGATTCCCTGTTCAGCGGGTCATCAAGCTCTGCAGAACCATGTCAATCACCTACTGGTTAAAATCAGGTGCGTTGGAGCAGAGAAACAACCAAAATATGCTGGATAGCAGCTCTTGAGGACCAGGATTGCCTACTTCTGGTCTAGAGGAGCATCCGGAGGATATTTACCAGCACAGCTAACAGTGTTTTGTTTTGTGTTTTTTAATAGTTTCTAGTTCAATCACTGGTGGTTTGTGATCATTCAACAGCTTGTTTCAAACATAAAAGAATAAAGAGTCACTCAGGTTAACAAATGGCCTCCGCTTTTAATAATTTTACCAAATGTCCCTTTGAAAGTGCACTTAGACATAATAAATCTGGATTTGCTAAAGTTTAATTGTAAATTAGATGATTTACAGAAGACCTTAAACCACCATCTAACACCCAGCTGAGGTTTTACGGCTCTCGTAACCCAAACACCATCCTGCTGACCATTACCATCATGTTGAGCCTATAAACGTGTGTGTGAGACAGAAGGGGGAGTAATTAATAGGTCATCTGGGTTAAAATGCTCCAGAGAGTTCATGAAACAACTGTAAAAGGAAACCAGAGCTTGCTGTAATTATAACGTTTTCTTGTGTTTTTATTCATGTTTACAGTTTTTAATTGTGATTGAAACACTAGTCAGCTTACGTGTCTGGGGGTGGAAATTAAAAACGCTCAGATCAGAATAAAACGGAACAACATGCAGTCTGCTGTAAATAAGGATATCGAACGGTCCAAATAAACCTTTAGTTTGATGTCTGACAATTAAAAATGAGAGAGTGATTATATGGCTGTGAAATTTAATCTCTCAGGCAAATGAGGATCATGCAGTAACTCACAGCTCAGTTCAATCCGGATGAAGTCTTTGATTCCCAGGTTTTCCAGGAACACCCCGGAGGAGGTGGTGGTCTTAAACAGGAAGGAGATGTCTGCACTCAGCTCTCCGTGGAAGGTGGGGAAGTGGAGGTACGACGTCTGTTTGTCGAAAGAGGCAGCGTTCCAGAAATTCTCTGAAAAATTAAAAATAAGTCACCTTTGGGATTTTTTAACGGTTTAATCAGACTCATGGGGTAGAACCAGAGGTGGAACTTAACTAATTACATTTACTTGCATTACTGTAACTACATAGCTTTTTACATATTTATACTTTTTAAGTTGTTGGGGAAATCTGAACTTTTACTTTTACTTAAGTATGTCTTTTTTTTATTGAACTTTGCTACATTTTCAATCACATCCGTTAATGAGTTAAAAAATCTAGGCTAAATAAATCAAAAATACTGATCTTTGCAGCATCAGAACAAAAAGAAAGACACCTGCATGAGCTCCCCATCGCACCAGTGGGGGGTGTGGGTGTACGCTTTTACATTAAACAGCCACGTTTCCCAGTTTTGCTCAAAAACATCAGTCCGGACCCTCTGCTTGCTGTATAACCCCCCTCCCCCTCCCCCCCCCACACACACACTCACACACACACACCCCACCCCCACCCCCACCCCCTCTTGGTTGAGACCTACACCTTCACTCACAGGTGTTACATCAGCATTCTGCTCGGTTCCGTAGCTGGACTCGATCCCGTCTGCAAGAACAGAAGTCCTGCAGCCTCCATGAGATTAAACATCTTGTTTGTGCAAATCAACACTTAATACTGGAGCTAAATCAGAACATCATGGGCTCCATCTGTGTGTGTGTGTGTGTGTGTGTGTGTGTGTGCGTGCGTGCGTGCGTGCGTGCGTGCGTGCGTGCGTGCGTGCGTGCGTGCGTGCGTGTGTGTGTGTGTGTGTGTGTGTGTGTGTGTGTGTGACTCTGCACTATTTAGATGTAGCCATTCTTATGCTGAAAAAAGTAACTAAGTTACTTTTACTTTGAGTACATGCTATTTACCATAACTTTTACTTGAGTAAAAATGTAGGCAAACACTTTTACTCATTCTTGAGTAAAAATACTCAAAGTATTGGTACTTGCACTTAAGTAGGACATTTCAGTACTCTTTCCTCCTCTGGGTAGAACCCACTGTATCTTCCTCATTTTGGAGCAGATTTTAAACCCTCTTCCTCACAGAAAGTCTCCTCATGACCAGTGTTGGGAACGTTACTTTAAAAAAGTAATTAGTAATAGTTACTGATTACTTTGTCAAAAAAGTAACTCAGTTACTAACTGAGTTACAAGATCATAAAAGTAACTAATTACCAACAAAAGTAACTACTTAGTTACTTTTTCCATTAAAGAATGCAAGAATTACTACAATAGTGAAATATAAATGACTAATGACTGAACATAATAAAATGTATGTCCAAATGTTTTATGTAAACCTGAATAATTTAAACAAATATGCACTTAACAGGAGGAACTACTAACAGGAGCATTACACTTAGCTAGACTATTAAAAGGTCACTGTGTGATATTTAACAAGACCCCAATCAGCTAAAATGTAAAATTGCAATTAGAAACACCTGTAAAGGTTCCCAAGCCTTTAAATGGTTTCTCAGTCTAGTTAAATTACAGAAATGAATGTAATTTTGCACAGTATTCTAATTTTTCCAGCTTCACATAATTGTGTGTTTTTACCAGCATTTCTGTTGCTGGTAATCTAGTAACGGTTAAATAAATAAATAAAATCCTTTAAAATGACACTAGAAGAGGCACAGATCTGATGGAGGACTTACATTTACTAACTTGGGTCAGACCCAACCACAGAAGAGCTGAAGCTGGGTGGTGAACACACACAGGTAGTTCTAATAACACTTGAGCTCCATGTCGTTTGAGACTGATGCATCAGTGTTACAGCGGGACTAAAGACATGATCAGGAACAGGTTACAGCTGGATGATCTAGGAAGGCAGAAGATCAGGACGTCTGAGCGGTGAACAGGTGAGCGGACCTTCGGGACGTCCCGCTGTCACGCCAAGAAGGGCACGGTCGCAGACCCGCAGATTCGCTGCTGCAGCAACAAATCTGCGGGGGGTCTGCAGCCGTAGATATTCATCACGTCTTCCTCGTTCTTCACGGGCCGAGATGCACTTGGATGAAAACATCTACCTCTTTAGCTCCTGATCAGCTGATGACAGCTTCAACACACCGCGCTGCTTAACGCACACATGCATTTTCTTATCAGTAACAGAAACGACGTTTTGATAAAAGAAGACGTAATTAATTAGTTTGCTCGTTACAGAAAGAAATATTTTTTATTAACGCGGTTATTTTAAACGGAGTTATTCCCGTTGTGTCTACAGAATGCAGTGACTGAGACGGTGAGGTTCTCCGCCCACCCGGCCAATCATCATCGTGTTTGTAAGTGCGTTACCGACACCTCTCTCTCCCTGGATGCAGCTGAAGTGTGGCGGTCAGAAAGCCTCACGCTGCTGCTCAACGTTCGACAAGCACATATTAACGCACAACCTTCCGTCCCCAGTAACGGTAACGGCGTTGCAACGGCGGGAAAAGTAATTAATTAGATTATTCCGTTACCTATAAAAGAACGCCGTTAGAAACGCCGTTATACTTAAACGGCGTTACTCCCAACACTGCTCATGACTTTGTGTTTATCACAGCTTCTTGTTTGTAGCCTGAATAAAGGTTTAAGAATCAGCAGCACACAGACTTAAACCCTGCTTAAATCTCAAAGATTATTACCTCTTCTTTAGTTCTCTAATGGAGTCCCTTCTTCAACGGCTTCCTGATTGTTTGTGAATAACCATAATTATGTGAAGCACTTTGGTAAACGAGCCCAGAAAAGGCTTTGAAAGCACCAGCCATGACAGCATTTCCCTTCACAGTTTTATTATTGTTTACCAAAAAGAAAAGTAGGGCTTTGTTTCTTCGTACCACACTCTGTCTGAGTGAACGCTCAGTAAAATTTTGAGATTAACTAGAGGCACTTACTGTCTCCATAGCAATGGACTGGTCCCACCCTGTAAGCGGCCTCCGAACCCGGCCTCTGGACATCACCCAGGACCAGAGCCCGGACCGGGAGGCTCTCCTTGTGAGTTAGTAGGCCTGAGTCCTCTGACCTGGAAGACAGAAACGAAAGTTTAGAAGTGGGGAAATTTGAATAATTTAATATATTTTAAATCTTTTACTGGCAGCTGAAGCACCTGGAAGAACATAATTTAGTCCCTGTGTTGATGCTCCAACTGGACGATGCAAACTTTGCTGTTTAATTTAGAAAACTGATATTTTTCTGTTCATTCAGGCAAAATCTCATTTTTCTGCCTGTTCTTCCTGTTGCAGAGAGATGTGTGGTGTATAAAACACATCCAGGTCTCGAGGAGAAGCATTTGGTGGGGTCTGACGGAATATTGAGGTGCAGGAGCAGCAGCTCAGTTCTGTAGAAAACCAAGCCGGCGGGTGCACAAACAGCTTGGAATGTGAAATGATGGAAGGAAGTCACGCGTAGTGGGATTGCTTACAACATGAGCAGAGGTTAAACTGTTTCTCTTTCTCCTTGTGTCACTTTATTCCAGCTGATTTGATGTTTACTAAACTGCTGAAGCTCCTCGTCAGTCATGCGTGTTATGGAGCCAGAGGTTCACCGCGGTGGCGTTGATTTTCTGCCTCGGTGCTCGCTACACTTACTTCAGAACATTTGATTCCTGACATGTTTTGTGATATGATCATTACTCTTTTTTCTGTGTGGCAGGTTGAATTATGATGCTGGGGCTTTTGGAGAGTACTGTTTCCTTGTAGGGGTGAGCTTCAATGTTTATTATGGGATATTTTCCACAATAAAGTCCGCGAGAATGTCGAGACTCGGGGTGCCCCTGCAGAAGGTTAGAATCTAACCTTTTAAATAAGTAAAGGCTCGTACCACTCTGTGCCATCGGCGTCACAGTTACAGAAGAGTTGTGGATCCACGCAGTCACCCTGCAGACCGCAGGAACACTGCTGGCTGTCTGGATGAGCTCCTCCCCAGTGAGTGTGGACTCGACCAGAACCGGGTCCGCCAAGCCACCAGCTGAAGGGAGAACCCTCTAAATCACACACACACACACACACACACACACACACACACACACACACACACACACACACACACACACACACACACACACACACACACACACACACACACACACACACACACACACACACACACGCACGCACGCACGCACACACACACACAACTTTCAGATACGTTTACCACAGGCCACCTTCAACAGTGGTCTGTGACTTGTTTACACGATGACTCTGAACCAAATCTACATTCATGTCTCCAGCTTTACGTTTTCACCTGAAGTGTTGTGGAGGCGGGACTTCCGACAGTGGTAGGACAGTTCCTGTTCGCAGTGCTCCGATTGGCTGATAGCAGTTAATAGTTGCTCTTCCTCAGATAAGTATCCGAAGTGGACGGAGAGCTGGTCCACACCAGGAGATGGACGGATCCTGGTCAGCTCTGTGTTGTTGTGCTGGAGGATCATCCACGTGTCTGTCTCTGACAGAACAACAAATACTATTTAATCCTGTTTTTTCTCTTCAAAGGAAGAGAGGAGAAAACCCAAAGCTGTTTCTAGGACGACGTAAAACCAGAACACAGTAGAAACAGCTGATTCAGTGGTGTTAAAATAAAGATGAAGCAGGAGAAAGATAGTCCTTCTAAACGGGAGGTTATCATCATTTAGATGTAGGTGTGTGTGGGCTTGTATTTGTACCCTTGTGAAGACCGGATTTGGGATATTTACTAACCTTCTTACGACTGATGGTCCTTGTTAGGTTCCAAACCCGGTCCTAATAACGGAGTACTTCCTAGGGTGAGGTTTACAGATAAGATGTGAATTGAGATTTTGTTACAGATAACTTTAGGAATACACTGGTTAGGGTTAGGGTTATAGGGTAAGGGTTTGGGCTAGGCATAGTGGGCTCACTAAAATGAATGGAAGTCAATACAGTCCTTACATGGGTACAAATACAAGAATGTGTGTGTGTGTGTGTGTGTGTGTGTGTGTGTGTGTGTGTGTGTGTGTGTGTGTGTGTGTGTGTGTGTGTGTAACCTGTCATGTTGCAGTAGACCAGCTGTGGTTTGATCGGTCCGCTGCCGTCTACATCGATGTAAAAATATCCTGACGTGTTGCCGTTGTGTTTATACGCTTCACACGATGGTTCGTGCACAGCTGGGAGGAAAATAATGAGAACATCATCATCATCATCATCCTGCTGCCACACAGGAGCTGTAACGGCACACACCGTAGTGGATCAGGGTTCTTTTTGTCATTAACAAAGTCACATATGTTAATCACAATAAGCTAAATCTGTGAATGTTCCACTGGGCAGGTTTCATAAATCCAGCTCAATAAATTAAACATCAGCAGCTTTAATCTGCTCCACACCTTCCTCTCTGCCTCCTCCAGACCTTCTGCTCTCATCAAATCTATTTCTTCATTATCTTTTTATCTCTTTTCTTCAAGGCAGGGAGTCTCTCTCCTGCTAGGAGGTCGGTGTCCACCCAGTAGCAGGCGGGGGGCTCCTCAGAGGTGGCGTGATGAGGTCCTGACAAAGATGGAGGAAAAGATGGAACGACAGATCTGATAGTTGCCTTTATCACTGAGGACATTACTCTGATTTCTGACCTCTGATCTGAGCCAATATTTACAGGTCTAGATGTACCGGTCCTTCCAGGTTCTGAATCTCAGCTACTGAGATTTGGTCCTCGACTTAAAAGAACAAAGTCCTCGATAAAAGCAGCTAAAATGAGTTTCCTGTGAGCGGGGCCTTGCAGACTGGGTGTGGAGCTCTATCATCCAGAAGGAGCTGCTGCTCCTCCTCATCAGAAGGAGTGAGCTGAGGTGGTTCAGGCATATGATTACAAAACCTCCTGATCACCTCTCTCTGGAGGATTTCTGGACTCTGGAGATGCTGGGATAGACCCAGAACCTACTGGAGGGATTATGTGTCCTCCTTGGCCTGGGAACATCTCCAAATCCCCCAGGAGAAGCTGGAGTTGAGGAATTCTGGACACCCAACTTTGGATAGATGGAGATTGGGATGTAAACGTGGTTCTGAGAGATGACTGCTGACAAGCTTCAGCAGTCCTGGAAAATTTTAAAGCAGTCTGGTTAAAGCTGCTCTTGTAGGTAAAAAATATTTATTGTGCATCTTTCTTGTGCTGGGACATGACAAAAGTGCCCCCCCCCCCCCCCCCCCCCCCCCCACACACACACACACACCAACCTAGAAGAATTAAAAATGTTGTGGTGTGACTTAAAGAGTTTTTTGGATGTCTTTATTTTGCTTGTATCCACTGCTTTGTCTGATCAATTTGTGCAAATTCCATCTGCTTCCTCCATAGTTCGAGTTACAGCGGACTCTTTGTGTGTTTGTTGTGTTGGTGAGACTCACAGCTGTGACACGTGGCCCCGCTGTAGCCGCTGTCAGAGCAGTTGCAGTGGAAGTTGGTCCAGGACTGGCTGCAGCATCCTCCGTGTTCACAACGACTCGGAGAGCACCTGAAAACAAAACCGTGTTGTCAGCGTCCTGATGGACAAGTTAGACATGACTTGTTTTCTCTGTGAAGACAAAGTCTGAATGAAAACAAAACTGCATTTTCTTTAGTTCTGCACCCAGACAGCCATTCTGAAAACAAAATTCATTTCATTTGTTTTGGCACGCTAGACACTTGGAAGCAACTCTGGATGTTTTTTCTGCCAAACGGCTCTTAGAAAGTACAAAAGCAGTGAGATCCAAAAATAAATAGCTTTGCTCTGCTTTTGTCGAGAGACTGAAACTTTGTTTTGAAGCATCTTTAATCTCTCAGCCTGTCGCTTATCTAACAATGAGTGCTTTAAAAACAGAAACGGCCGTCAGGACTTTGACCCTTCAGGGGGTCCTAAAAGCAAAATAAAGGTCTCTTCTCTAAAAACAGAACAGGTTTGGACATTTCAAAGCAAGTCTTTAATATGAGGCGGTTTCATTCAGTTTCCTGTTTCATACGTTTGCTCCAGCCTGTTTATTCCATGGCCAAACGTGTGTGGGAGGGCTGGAGTGGAAGCTCAGAAAAAGGTCATTTGTTCCATTTGTGGGAGGATTTTAACCCTGTCAGGTTCTAAATAAGTTTTGACAAAAGGACGAACAACTAAGTCCTTCAGGGGTACTTCTGAGTTAAAAATGCTCATGAAATACGTTTGTGGAGTAACCAGGTAGGTTTTAACGTTGCAAATCTGCAACGCCTGCTCCCAGAGGGTTAGAGAATCTCCTAATAGACTCAAATGATCTTTGATGATGCTGACAAGATAAAAGAAAACATGTTAAAGAAATTTGACTAAAGTCGTCATTTGAATGTTTTCACTGTGTGGGCATCGGAACGAGCCCCCGCACCGTGAGAACAAACATCTCAGCCCTAAAGGCGATCTTCATCCGCATACGTCACACGTTACGTGATCAGGAAGCAGAAAATCCATGTGTTAGGAGATCAATTTGGACCGCTGCTGTAAAAAAAACGTGAGGCGCGAACCGGAAAAGCTTCTGCCGATCACAATTCAACAACAGATTATGAAAGAACGGATAACGCTCGAAACGTACAGATTCATCCCGATGTAAGAGGTGAGTCTTTTGGTTGTTTTGGTTGTTTTGGCGTCGACATCATCCTAGCGCGCAACGTTCTGTGACTCTTAAAAAAAACAATGAGAAACGCAGGCAGCGAATGAGTTAAAAGAATTAGGAGAATGAAAGCAAAAATTTATTTGATGCACAAAAAAGATCGAGGTTTTAATTAAAACTAAAAGTAGAGAATTTAATGCAGAAAGAGCTTCAGTCAGTTACCAAACTAAACTTCACTGTACTCACAAAACCTTTGTTTACTGTTTATGTTTATTTATTTGGCAGATGCTTTTATCCAAAGCAACTTACAATTTATAACCTATAGGGCATGTTGTGACGGCACTGTTGACCCTTTTGCTGTGGGTCAAATGCGTGGCTACGTTTTAGGGAACAAAACAGACATTATTTAACCCGTAAAGTTAACATGGACATTTCTAGTTTCACAGACATGAAACTGTAGATTTCTCATATTTATAATAGAATTTATTATAATAAACAAAAAATACAAAAATGCAGCTAAAAATGGGAGTTGCTGTTTTCAACAATCGATTTTGCTGTAATTGGTACAAAAAAATCTACGTAAATAGTTGTATTAAAAATTGCCTGAAAACGGCAACAAAACAGGAAAAACACTTTTAGTGTGTCTTATACATTTTATTAAAGGGAAGAGGTTTAGGGTGGATTTATTTAGTTATAAAGAAATGTAGAAAAGAGCTAAGCTTCCTTTTTCAATCAAAAGGTCAGACAATGCCTCTGCCATTTCATCCAGATGCACACACACACACACACACACACACACACACACACACACACACACACACACACACACACACACACACACACACACACACACACAATCATAAAAATATTTCTCTGATAGATTATTGCCGATTCCACTGAAAAATGGCAGCGGTGAAGTCAGATAACTGCAGACGGATGGCCGGTGTGACTGCAAACAGCCTCATCTAAAATAACACAACCATCCATAATATTCACAGTTATCCCTCAGGCACAAAGGAAGCAGCCTCTTACACACTAAATCAGGCTCTATCAGCCCAACACCTCACGACCAGACGTGAGCTGAATGCCCACTCCGACCACAGAGGATCACACTAACTGGTCTCAGAGTGCAGAAGTATGGAGAACACTGCTCTCCGCCTCAGGCTGAGCCACAAAACCCACTGAAAGTCTGCTAAACAGGCCAGAAAACAACAGGGCTTTGAGTTGCATTCATTAATATTCATGATGTGCAAACATCTCACCTCTCATTGGCCAATAGCAATGCAACTCTTCCTCTGCCTTCATTCGCTTTTCTTTCTTGGGCAAAAAAATGTTGAAGTTTCATCTCCACTAATAACACAAGCCTGAACCACGTTCCACTGTGTTGTGGAGTTGCTAATGCTAATGGTTAGCTTCTACTAACCGAGTTGGGTGACCTCGACCCAAAGTGGGCAGAGCCATGAAGAACCTGGCTTCCTGTGACCTCCCGTCTATCTCCTGTCTGCGTCTGATGCAGGCGATGTGGGCTGGAGGACACTTTCACGTTCAGCAAAGAAAAAGCTACTATGAGAACGTGATGTTTATGTTGGTGTGGGTAAAGAACAGGCAATTTGCAAAAACACCTGAGAGTGAGCTTTAAAGTGCACAACATCATCCCACTTCTAAGTTGTCAAAAAACATGAAAGCTAGAGAAAAAGTGACTTCAGTTTCGCCATTGAAAGTCTTTAAAGTTTTAGGAGAACCGGGCAGAAATACGATCCAAAAACTGTAAAACAAGAAAGAATGGTGAAGTTGGTCATGCGCCATTTAATTACACTTTGTTTATCAGTCAATAATCAACAAACTGGTTATTATGAAGTCAACAGCACTGAAAACAAGTGGAAGAGTCAATTATTCTCCTTTGTTCTGAGCTGGAATAAACAGGATTATGTGACACCGAGCTGATATAGAGCTCCCTGTGGAGTGCACTCAATTTGTGCTGTTAATGGACTGTTTGCTTTAGCTAATAATGCTCTGTGCTGTTAGCAGAAAACACACAAACAACTGCCCACATACAGTAATAACCTGCTTAGAAATATGAGCCGCATACTGAAGCGGTGTCTGAGTCCATTTTCCACCAGACTTTACTGCACAAACACCCACGAGACCAATATCCAATCTGCAGGATTACAGTGGGGAAGCGGCTGTTTTTTTCCCCGTGTTTACTGGAAAAGAGATTTCTTTTTCTTTTCCTGTTTGTTCCAAGTGAGAGGTCAGATCTTTGGAGGAACTGTAGTCTGCTGAATGGTGATGCAGAAGCAGAGCGACATTTAATTAAAATCATTCAAGCAGTTTCTCCTTATCTGGGAAGGATTTGTGGTTTGTTCAATATTTGTGTCTGAGTTCATGTTTCCGTGTGAGTGTGTGTGTGTGTGCGTGTGTGTGTGTGTGTGTGTGTGTGTGTGTGTGTGTGTGTGTGTTTTGCGTGACTGTTTCCTCTTGGGCTCTAGAGGTTTATAATTGCGGTAATTGTCTCATTAATCGTGCAGCTATTTGGTGTGACGCCGAAACAGAAAAACGATTAGTTCTGCCCCCCCCCCCCCTTCCCTCCCAGATCCACATCTTGTTTTCCTGAGATTCAAGCCGAGTCTGAACCGTCACTGATGATATAAAGAGTTTTACTTTACTGAACCATAAAGGATACAATAGATATGATCGTCTTCAAGGGAAAAACTGTAAATCAGTGTAACTTCTAGATGACAGCAATGATTAGTAATTTTTCATTTTGCTATGGACAACAGTACAATGAGGACATTTTCATCTTAAAATGATATTTCAACTTTTTCTCCACCTTTTGACTCTTTTCTTAACACATCCTCGTTACTTATGGTGACTGTTGGTCAGCTCCGCTCCTTCCAACAGTCTTAAGCCTCTTTTAGAAAACCATGCCGCTACTTAGCCACAATGCTGAGCCGGTGTAGGAAGACTTAGGCCATTCATAAGTGGTAGACCGTGGCGGTAATGTGGTGCAATCATAAAGGTGGGTATGAAAGCGGTCTCTATGCTGCTGCAAACTTCCATTAAACTTTGACATAACTTGATTTTCACTGCAATCAAAGCTGCGCTCATTAGGGTATTTTAACAAACCGCTCTTAAAGGTGGCTGTCCTTCACAGTCCCCTATGAACTGTCAGATGGTGTGAGCTCCAGATCTAATGGAGAGAAGCTCCTGGAGCTATGCATCACTCCAGTTTATCATCTCAGCTGATTTTGTTCATAAAGCAAAACTTATGGTGCGTGTTTACGTTCATTTTCAATATAGTAGCCGGCCAGAACTTGGCAGTAACTCCCCACATGATGATGACACCACTCTCTGTTGCTTCAAGGTGTAATATGCATTCACCAGTCCGGCGGCACAATACCGCAAAATTCCTGCATCGCCATGCTGCCACGGCACATTCATAAGACACACCATGGCAGCTCTATTACGCTGATTTGCCGGCATGGTGTTTCTTCTAAAGAGGGCATTAAAGACATGCACTAATGAGATAATCCTACCGTGTGTGGTGTGTTACAGGTGCTCTGGTCTGCTCAGAAAGAAATCTGACAGAAATTTGTCAGCCCGGTTCTGGATGTGGCCTTGCTGAGTTATCTGTAGCAAGGAGCTCGGTTGTCTGGGAGGTGGTCTGAGTTGGTTCTGTGCTGGCTGCTGGTTTCCTGGTGCTTGGGGCAGTTCCGGAGTGCACCTGATCCTTGGAGGTCTCACACTTCACATCCCAGCACACACACGAACACATGCTTGTTGATGTTTGTTGTTCATGGTTTACATGTTTATAGTTATCCTGTTCCACATTTTCTTGATGTTTCTTTACAGGTGCAGCAGCTGGTTGCTGTTTTTTATGTTGGTTTCCTAGTTTTTATATTTTTCTCTTATTTACTTGTTTATCCTCTATCAACCCTCTTTATTCCAGATTGGTTCAGCATTTACATGCTGATGTGGCGATACATAACCCAAACCAATATTACAATAACAAACTTGTACACAAAAGGTTCCTCTTGATAGAGCAAATCTGTTCAGCACATTCTGACAGACAGACCACCATTTTTCTGTCATGTTGCTATACAGGACATTTTTAGTTTCTTTTAAAGATAAATAGTATTACATTTAAAGAGCAATACTTTCACATTATCATTTTCCCACACTTTCTGTACCTGTATTTTGTTGTTTTTCAATAAAGAATGAAAAATTATTTAACTTTGTGGGTTTTTTGCAAGCAAATATTTATGTAAAAATATGTACAAATATCTACAAAGCTAATATTTACATAAGTATGATTGGTGTTATGTCCCCGACAGGTGTTGTTAAAATATGAAGGATGGGGATAACATAAGAACTGGACAGTGGATATTAAATGGGTTTTATTGTTATAGAAAGGTTCTAAAACACAAGCAAACACGACGGGCATTATAAAAATAATGCAACACACTCAAAGTTTTTAAAAGGTTAACGTTAAACGACAAATTATCAACTATAAAAACACCTGGCTAAAACTTTGTTAAAAGCTTAACCGCACGAAGGTGTTCTAAAAGCACAACAAAGTTGATAAAAGTCCCTAAAACAATTTACTGACTAAAACACCTGGTAAAAACTTATATTAAAAGTTTTACCGCAACGAAGGTGTTTAAAACCGAAGTCAATAAAATTGCACCAAATCAAGTTAACCTTTAAAACAAACACAAAAAGATCCCACTGGATCACTCAGAGTTTGAACTAAAAAAGTAAAAACTCATCAAAACGAAAAGGGGTTGAAACCAAAGTGAGACCTGGAGGACAGCAGAACCCCTGCACTGCTGCCTCCCAGACTGCTGAAGGCACAGCCTTTTTATAAAGGTGTTGGTAATCAACAAGATTCGGCTCAGCTGTGCTCCTCAGCAGCCTGGGAGAGAGGAGAAGGAGGGGCGGTGTCCGGCTGATCACTAGGGCTGGGTGATCCTGGTTCCTGGATCCTACTGGCCAGACTGGTAGCCGTAACAATTGGGTTTTACAATACGGCAGCCTCTAAGGTTTATTTTAGTAAGATTTTTAAACCAAGTAAAGTTAGTAAATAACACATTTCTATTGGCTGCTAAGAAACTGTTGGACTTAAAATGGGCCTGCTGTAGAAATAACTTGACATATATGATTCTTCCCTCCTTTTTTGTCTTAACCAAAGAAATTCCAGTAAATGAGCAAAAATGTTTATTTTTTAACATTAGATTTTATAAAATAACAGGACACAAAGTGTTGGTACATTTAAAAAAATGTTAAATAATAAAAGGGAACCAGACAGCTACAGAGTGAGTGCAACATTGGGTTGTGAAGGAAGAACAGTGTTATGGCTATAGATAAATTACATCAACAACACATTAGCCATAACAGTCAGGGATATGTTTATCCTGTTTGCCTGAAGATAAATCTGTCCTAAAGGCCAAATTCAAAAGCAGCGAGACTCCCACCTGGAAGTCTTTCACTGCTTTTGGAGCTGGGCATTAAGACAACTGGCGATATTAGTTAAAATATATAATTTCCCCTATTTGTGAAATGAACTTTGTCTGACAAAAATATCCCTGGACTGTCATGTCTGATGTGAGGATGCACAACAACGGCACCATTTAAGCTACAAATAAATGTAGCCATAACACTGTTGACAATCCTGCTTGCCTTCTCAATTTTGGCAGGTTTTACACTTGCCCTCGAGCTACACCTTTGGGTGATGGATGACATGATGATCATCATATGAGGGTGTAGAAGGAGAAGCCGGTGCAGGTCCTCCATCTTGTTGACCAGCTTCACACTGCTGACCACCCCCTTGTCATTGCCGCCACAGTGGACGATGAGGACACCTGGAGCTGCTGTTCCTCGCATGGAGTGGAAAAAGAAGGGGAGAAGGTCTTTCCACCTCAGTCCGCCCCAATCGAACCAGGAGACACAGACGTCAGGGAGGCCAAGGTTATCTCCGGGGGGTCTCTGCAGCTCTCTAGGCACCACGCCTCACGTAGCTGTCTCCAACGATCCAAATGGCTATGGAGGAAAAAATAACAGGTTTGGCCTTGCTGTTTAAAGTACAAAACCATTCATGAAGTGGTCAAGACAAGTACTTGGTACTTACACTTGCTGCTTTGTGTAGCCAATGTTGAAGACATACAGGCTGCCATGGTGACCTTTTAACGGATCTAAGAAAAAAATGTAATAAAATAATTAAACTTAAAACTCCCAGACCTCATTTCATGATTGCTGATCAGCTATGGCTGATTTATTGTTTGGATCACAGTGAGTTACACTAATTCTAATAAACTTTTATTTCTAATATACATACATACTTTTTAATTGTTATTTTCACATGAGTGTTATCAGGCTCTCTTGTTCTGGTTCTCATGATAATTCCATTTCTTCCAGTCAGTTATCTTGTGCTACTTCATCTGTATAATGTCTCTTTACTTTTGGTGAATTGTGCTGAGTCCAGAATAAAGGCTACTTGGCTGTACAAGATACAAACATGTATTAAGTTTTGGAAATATATGAAATGTATTTAGCCTGCTAATTTATCTCAAATATTAATAACTACCATATTTTCCGGACTATAAATCACACTTTTTTCATAGTCTGGCCGGTCCTGCTACTTATACTCCGGAGCGACTTATATAACAAATTATGTAGGCTACACCGCGCTGCTGCGGGCCGACTCTGACCCATGAATGAGTTCCCCTGTCCCACTGGGAGGGTTTCAAACACAGCGTTCCTCTGCTGGAGACCGTGGCGCGCTGCTGCGGCGCATTATTCTGTTATTGTTACCGGTACTTGTCTTGCAATGTGAAACGCTTTGTCTCAGATTTTGCAAGAAAAATAATAAAATTTCCCCCCCAAAATGCGACTCATATATATTTTTTCTTCTTCATTATACATTTTATGGCTGGTGCGACTCTGGAGTGACTTAATAGTCCGGAAAATACGGTACATTAAAAATACTGAAAACTTGCTCAAAGCTATTTTCATTACAGAAATAACTTATAAACTTACCGATTTAATACTTTGTTATTCACAGAAAGGTACTTTTCATGAAAAAGCGCTGCAAACCACGACTTAAACTCCGTGTGAGCTTCAGGTCGCTGGTGGGTCGCTGGTGTTCCACAAAGTTAGCTCCGGTAGTAGCTAGGTAGCTACATCCGTTAGCTTAGCTCCCACCTCCGCGTTAGCTTTGGGTTAGACAGGGTTAGCTCCAGGTTAGCTTGTAGCTTGTTCGCCTGGGTGTCGTCATTTGATCCCAGCCTTACAGCCCCACCCTCAGCTCCACCTCTCTTCCCTTTTGTGGAATTGTCTGGGCTTGACGGAACCTGTGACACGGTCAAAATAGTGGTGGTGGTCACCTCCCATTTCCCCTCAAAAACGTGTTATTGGAGTCTATGGAAAGACACTGTCCATATATTTCTATGCCGATGATACACACCCTATTCACTCTGGTCCCGGTACTGCTGCACATGGGGTACAACCATTTCCGGTTCCCAAAGTTCGACCCTTTCTGCTGGGATGCTGGTTAGCTGGCTTCCCCGCCCAACGCTGAGCAAAGCAACCCACCACCCCAGACCCCAACCAGACGGCCAGATCAGCATACTCCTTCTCCGCCACGCTCGTGTACTTCCAAACCACATTTTATCTTGCAGAATTTCCAGTCTTGGCGGTGAATGAAGTATTTGCTGCACACCACACGCTGCAGGACCAAAACCGATATATCCATAATTTTTTGGTCACCATGTGTGGGGTGTCTCATGCTTTGAAAATGTGCCGACTGTTTAAAAATATCACCCGAGTGTTTGGGTGTTGGGTTTGAAATCCAACGAGCACAAGCCCTCGTGGGCTCAAACCCAACTTGTGGTGAGCAGGAGTTTTTTCTCATACTCTTATCACAGCAAATTCATCTCCACTATGAAAACATTCACACTTATCCTTATGTTTGCACGACTGCCCAGTGTATCTGGAACAACAGACAGAGGACCTTTCTAGTAGCAGACCTGTCGATGATGCCACACATGTCGATCTGCAGGTTGCTGTAATTTCCCAGCTGCCTCTGTTGCACCAGGATGAGATCCACAATGTTGGTGTCCAGAGTTATAGAACGCATGCAACCATAGAAGGTGTCCAAATGATCTTTGGACTCCTGTCTGTCTTCAGTAGGACAGCCTGAGAAGAAAGCATGGTTTCTAAACTGATGGATTAAAGAAATTTAATGAAAGAAAGGTTTAAATAATCAAAGAAATGCGCGATTTATCGCCTGCCCAGTTTTGGATCCACACACGTTCTTACCACCGAAGAAGAGTTGACTTTCTACTGCGACAGGAAATGAGGGGCTGGCCTGAGCGCTGCCTCCTTCCTCTTTGTCCACAGAGATGCTCAGATGACCCCGTCTGGAGTTGAGCTCTACTGAATGCCACTGACCATCACTGAGAGCAGAACCTGGCAGACAAACAAACTCATGACTCAGCTCTGCAGCAGAGTAGTTTAAAAACACAAAGTCAAGCATTTGCAAACATGTCAAATGTTCAGTCAGAGCACAGACAGCAGGACGTGCACAATGGCTCTTTGTGTTATCAGCAGTAAAGCACGTCCCTCTTTCTCAGCTGAAAACAGCATTTAGCTGTAATTGCACAAATCGACTGCAAAAGCAGCATTAGCAGAAGAGCTTCATCTTCTGTCATATTGATTTGTACCATTCAGGGTTGTGTCAAGCGTTTTGTACATTTATAAATCAATTAACTTATTATCTTCATTTTCCATCAAAGAGGCATTAAAAACACAATCAGTTTATAATATAACATAACCCTAACCCTAGCCAAACAATAATAATAAAAATAACATTTTTTTATGATTAGGTTCATTTTTGGACCAACTAAACACATTTTGAAACACTTCTTGGCTTTTTTATGCAATAAATATAATGACCAAATGTTGTTGTGACCAACCTGCAAATACATTTTTCAGAAACTGATTTAACATTTATTTCTGGAGTTACCAGAATAAATGTTTCTCGGAGGATTCTGTCTCAAATAATAGACTTAATTTAGCCTCAAGCTACATAAAACATACAGTAAAATAGGGAAAAAAGGCTTTTATATTATTTTAACATTTCTTTTTTTTTCTTTTTGTAGTAAATCGGGCATTAGACACGATTTTGTGGTCAGTATTTTTATTTACTCAGTATTTAAAAATAATCAAATGTTTTTGTATTAATTTCTTTATTTAAAATTCTGTTTAACATTTGTAAAACTAAAAAAATAATTCAGAATAAAGCAGGAAAGAAGATCCAACAAACTGATTTCATGAAACGTTTTTAGGATCATTCATCCTGCTGGCGATGGGATGCAGGAGAAAGAAGGAGTTTTGTTTAATTAACTTAAACGGTGGAATTTCATGCAAAGTATTTATAATTTCGTGTTCATTCTGCATAAAACTCGGTAAAATTAAACATTGTTCTTGTTTAGGACTATGATGAGTAGGATTCTATACAGTCTTTATGGTGAATTAAACTGAAAGAACAAATATATTTGATCTTCACCCCTGATTCTTGCCCAGCTTTGTGTAAAATGCTCTAAGGTTATTTTTATGTATAGAACCAGAAGTTTGACCTCCCAGGTTCTCCCTCTGGACTCGGTCACCACCTAATTATTATTTTTTTTAATTCTGAAACTTTGAAACAATTGCATGAAGACTGACCTGCACTGAGCTCCAGCAGAACCTTCTCTCCTTTCTGGATATGCAACTTGAGTCTAGCCTCACTCAGGTAGAACCAGACCACACCCCCTTGTTGGGGAAGGTCGAAGGTTAGCAGAAGCCCCGCCTTGTTCCATGTCCTGAACTGAAACTCTACTGAAGCACCTTCTGACGAGGATGCCGTTGCCCATGGCAACTGGAGGAAACTGTGAGGGTCGGAGAAAGTCACGGCAACAGAATTGGGCTCAACGCAAGAGAAGGTCAAGTTGCCCTGAGAGGGAAAAGAATGAGGCGGGACAGAAAAATGATCAGTGGAGAGATAAAGCAACAGAAAACATGAATATTAATCAGCTGCAGAGGGCGTGTCGATGTGACCTTATGTCAGAGGGATCTCATCAGCAAGTCTCCTTAAGGAGGACATTGATATTACCATAACGATAACAGCAAAGGTCAGGATGAGATTAGGAAAGCATGCTGTAAATACCGAAGTCTCCTCACGTGAAGGTAACCAGATAAATAAGGAAAACAAAACAACCAGAGACATCTGAGGGTGCTAAAGTTCGTCTTACAGGTTATAGTTTTAAACGGTGGTTAATAAAAATAATAATAATAATACATTTTATTTAACAGTGCCTTTCAGGACACTCAAGAACACTTTACAACAATGGGGGAAAATAAAACAAGATAAACAGTACAGAAATATGTAAAAAGCCTAGGTTGCTAAAATTTAAAACAATGTATTAAAACTGTGTGGTAAAGCCTGTGTGAAGAGGTGGGTTTTGAGTTCTGATTTAAAAAGTGGGAGAGAGTGAGTGGTGCGTAGATCAGGGGACAGAGAATTCCAGAGGAGGGGAGCAGGGCAGCTGAATGCTCTACTCCCCATGGTTACAAGGCGAGCAGAGGGAGCCGAGAGATGAGGAGCAGTAGAGGAACGAAGAGCGCGGACAGGAGTGGTGATGTGAATGAGATCAGAAATGTAGGATGGAGCCAGGTTATGGAGAGCTTTGAATGTGATGAGCAGAATTTAGAAACTGATTCTCTGTTTAATGGGCAGCCAATGAAGTTATTGCAGGATGGGGGTGATGTGATGAGATGATGGAGTCCTAGTGATGACACGTGCTGCAGCATTCTGGAGAAGCTGCAGTTTATGGAGGGATTTTCTGAGGAGACCAAAGAGAAGTGAATTGCAATAATCAATCCTGGATGTGACGAGGCTGTGGACAAGGATGGCAGTAGTGGAGGGAGTAAGTGATGGACGGAGGCGGGAGATGTTACGCAAGTGAAAATAAGCAGTCCGAGTAATATTGTTGATGTGAGATTGAAAAGAAAGTGTGCTGTCAAGAGACACCCAGACTCTTAACATGAGGGGAGGGAGTAACTGCTGAGTTATCAATAGAGATGGGGAAACTGTTAGATTTGGAGAGAATATGAGGTGTACCTACCAGGAGGACTTCAGTTTTAGAACTGTTCAGTTTGAGAAGGTGGGAGGTGAACCAAGAATGGAGTTCTTGGAGACAGAGAGTAAGGGAGGAGGGTGGAAGTGAAGTTGTGGATTTGGTTGAAAGGTTAGATCCTTTTCTTAAGGTGGAGCTGTGATTCATTACAGATCCAACTTTGCCGATGACATTGAAAGCCGCCGACATCCATCAGCACTCAGAATACTGTGTAGCAGCTCCCCAACAATCATGTAACTTGTAATTCAAAGAGAAGACTTTTTCTTGCTGCATATAACCTAAATTCTCAGGAGGGTTCCCAAATTAAAGCTCATCATGAGCTGCAGAATGAATCTCCTCTCTGTCTGGAGAACTGACAGAATATTCAGAGGGGAAGGTGACTGAAATACCAACGTTTGGGAGCATTTCCAAAGAACTGAGACATAATCAGAACTAAAGACCAACACAAAAACCTATGGTTACAGTGCTGACTTGTGCAAAAGTGCTGTGTGCACCAGATTAGCATGGTTCCAGCAAAAAGGGGAACGTTTTCTCTACGTTCTCAACCGACAGAAGCTCTCAAATATACTTCTGAAACATTCTGAGCTTACCACAGCGGCGACTCGGTGGTCGTTGACTTTAGCGAGTTCTAGCAGGTTGAGACCGTTGAACTGGAGGTTTTCAAGGCAGCCATGAAAGTTCCTGCTGGAGATGATGGTTTTCTGAAGGAGACTCTCAACTGCTCCAAAACTCAGCTGCATGGGAGCAAAAATGTTCTGAATTGTTTTATAAAAAAGGAAAGTCTGTAAACTTTAACGTTCAGATCCAAATAAATAAAATGACTTTTTAAATCCTCGTTATTTCAGCATGTGCTGCAGTTTTGGGTTCATGCAGATGATTTTACACATTTGTGTTGATGTGAGTTGGACCCAACCTCATCTATGTCCAGGTGGTGGAGCTCTGTGGGGATTTGCACCCGTTTTGTGAGTTTGTCCACAGTGAGGTTGACATGAAGGCTGTGCAGCTCTAGGGTCACATGGTGCCAATGCTGATCGTCTAACAGGCTTCCAAGGGATGCAAGATGTCTGGTTTCAGTAGATAAAGTCCTGCCTGGGACAAAAGAGCAGAGAGGAGAAACAAAACTAAATGGACACTTTCATATAAAAGTTACTCAGTTTAAAGTCTTCAAAAGTTTCTCTTCTGCTTAGAATATTTGATTTTTTTGTGCATCCTGCTGGGAGGATCACTGCAAGGTCACCATCGCTCATCTCGCCAGGTTCTGCTGAATAAATACATATTTACAGACGGGCTAAAGCTAAATATGTCACCAGAAAACTACAGAGGGAACTCAGAGACGCTTCATTAATGATAGATGAGCACCAGCAAACTCAAATTAGGGGATATATTTTTGCATCCCCCAAAGATCTGAGGGGAAACCTCGTGCTTCTTTTGAGAGATGCAGCAGAAAGAGCTGAAGACAATAAAACATTAAATACGTAGAAGATGTTTATCTGGTAAAAACTTTTCACTTCAGAAAGAAGTAACAGATTTTTCCCTTTTTTGATGCGAGAGCATTCGGCTTTTCACAGTCTGAGCAAATAAAGCAGAAGTGCAGTTATTACAGGACAGAGCAACATGAAAACTGTGGGATTTCTGTATTTGTTATGCTTAATGGAACATTTCTTAGGTGGTAGGAGGTGAGCATGGGAGGAGAGCCGTGTGATAAAGACTCTCCCTGGAGGCATAATTTCATTACAGCTTGAATAATTGAAAAGAAAAACTGAAAGGAGTCAATATAAAGACCAAACAAAGGGACTGAGTTGATATTAATATATGAATTAGTATTTGCTCTTTATCTCTTTGGCCTTTTCTCTCTGTGCCAGTTTTATTAAACTAAGAAGAAAAAGTGTTTGAACGTTGATCTGAAAAACCAAGGTGCAGAATACCATCCTAAAACATCCAAAGCCTCTTGATTTAGAAAGTTTTTTTTTTTATTTTATTGAGCCACCAATTATCAATAGATCACATCCCAGAGGTGTCATGAGCAGCAGATGTGAAATAATCAAATACTGGTGTCAAATTGTCCTGGAGTCTAAACAAAACGAACATCTCTGCTGATGCTCAAGAGCAGAACTGGGTTATTTATATTAATTCTGTAGGCTCGTGAAAACTCATAGGTTATATGGAAAAACCTTACAGCATTTAAGTAGATGGTCTTTGCCAAAATATGCATGTAAAGAAACTAATAGAGGTCTGATAGCTCAAATAATAAATTAAGCAAACACATTTCTTTATTTCTATTTAAATATTGTGTAGAATATTCTTTATGCTCCCTAAGAGTTCATTCATTCTGTTGAGGAAAGAGAACCATAAACTTAGTGAAAATCTACAGAATGATGCACAGATCTGTATCGATAAATTCTATACATTATTGTGATTATCAATAAAGATAAAAAAAAATGATAACAGTCTGGCGATTATTGTTTTACAAAATCTGGGGCAGCTGAGATTGTGTCCCATAGCAAAAACTATATAGTGTTATGAAACTCGCTCCAGTCGCTCATAGTACGCCTGACCTATAAATGCATTTGTTAGAGAATAATCCTCTGTTTAATGTTTTGTAAAATTAAAAACTAAAATCTTTGTAAACAAAAAAACTTTTTTGAATATTGCTCGACTAAAATGAACTAAGACTAAAACTTAGGTGCCTGCCCAAAACAACGGTTTCAATTACAAGTTATTTAAATTAGATTTTCTGAGTTAGTCAGTCATAGATGGAGATCATCTGAGAGCTTCGTTAAATCCACCCAGTGGTTCCTGAGCCATTCTGCTAGAAGCTTATAGATCAAACATCTTTGGGTGGGGGGTGGGGGGGCTGATAGTAAAGTCTGGTTGGATGTATTTGACTAATGTTTGATGCATTTGCTAAAGTACTTATGCATCATAGCCTGTCTTACATTTCATTAAGTTGAGCCAAAAGTCTAACTCCTTATCAGCAGCTGCCGTCTGTTTAATCACCTTCAAACATTATTATCTAACTCTGGACAAGAAAGCAAACCAACAAGCTGTCAGGATTTTATGAGCTGAATTGTCAAAACATCAAAAAAGCATCCAAATGATCTCGTTTCTGCAGCTAATCAGAGGTTGTGGATGTGCAAAGCAAATCAATGTGAGCCAAACAAAACGATGCAACTTCAACCCAAAATAGCTGATGTGATTTTTTTATATATAAAAGCAAAGTGAAAGACAGGCCGAAATAATGAGGGACAGAAATATGAAGGGCATCCAACCGAGAGACCCAAATACAGAGACATGTGAGAGAGTCAGAACGTGATGACAAGTGTGTGGATGAAAAGGCAAATGGCCGACGGTCTCGTCAGAGCTCAGAGACAAACTGTTAATCACAAAGAAGAGGAAGAGATCCTGTTGAATGTTCTCAGTCTTTGTTCTGTGATTTTACTGGACGGCTTTAATATCCTCTGAGCTACAGCATCTCTGCTTTTTAATTTTACAAGGTATTAGATGTTTTACAAAGCTTTTGAGCAGCAACAGCCTACTAAGCAAAATGTTCTTCAGAACAAGAGAGGTAGCTGGAGTCATTACAACAGGCGTTTAGTGGCGTATTTCCCTCCCGGGGAAACTCCAGCTGCCTTTATTTCCCTCGTTTATTCTCTGTTTTGATGCGTTCGAGATTTTTGGGTCTTTGGGAACAAAATGATTTGTTCAACTTGCTGCACACGTGTAAACGCTGCAGATTGTATATTTCCACAAACGTCAGCACAGCATGCAGGCACACAGACGTATTAGTTTGTGTTCTGACTGGTGCCTTTCTGTCCCTCTTTAATGTTTAAAATGTAGATTTTTGCTGCATTTGCTGACTGCAAACTATGACTTTTGAATTTCTGACCTCAAAAAGCTCAAAAAGCTTGAGAAAATGTTTTCCAGTTTACACATTAATCACAGCGGCCATGTGTTTTTCAGTCTCAAGGCTCGATTTTATCTAAGCAAAGAGGAGAAAACAATGAGAGGAATTTTAAATTGTTACCAACTCTAAAAGTGTATTTGTTTTAGCTTTTATAATGCCAGAGAGGGATTATCTGCCAAGACATTTTCAGAGGGAATGGTTTAATTTCTCCTTTGGTGTTTTCAGAAATCTGGCCGATTACACTCTGTTTGCGCGCGATAATGTCACTCTATGGACCCCAGCCTAAATATACTGAATAAATATTTGTCATTTTCACACGTTATCTTTAATCTTTAGGAAATTCATCATCAAAATTGTAAAAAAAAATAAAAAAAATAAAAAAAATTGTTTCATGCTTGAATTTCATCCTTTGAAGTTGAAGTTTGGCAGAAAGGTAGAATTGGAAAAAAGAGGAACGTGTAAGTATTTCTGGAGCCAGATGGGGCTCTTGGTGAGAAGTGTGCCAGACAGTGATGATTCAGCATGGCAACCTCCCGTAACACCCTACACACTGTTGAGGGTCTGACCTCATGAGGAAATTACTATGCAGTGATTTTCTCCAAAATGACTGTGCTTAAATTGCTCTGAAAAGCAAATAATCACATCAGCGCCAAGAAACTTCATTTCCCATGATGCTTTGCACACGGAAGCATTGGGTGATGTTACCGCCTAGTACCAGAAACACGTTCTGCGCATGTGCGGGAAGCCGTGGAGCTTTTCCCGCGAACTAAGACCATAAATCTTCAGCAGAGACAAAGAAACCTCGTTCTTTTGCCCAGGATACCTGGCGGTGAGGACACGCTTGTCGAACGCTCCGACTTCTTTGAGCACGCGGAAGCTCTAAGAGCCAAGTTGAGCCCACGGGACCGCTGATCTGCTCGTTTCTGCTCCCCTCCAGCTGATGTTTGAGGACACAGAACCAGCGGAGGGAAACAACAACTCCATCCAGCTCTCAGAAACGCTGTAAGTTGTCAAACTCAGCCCAAAAGGAACTTCGTTTTCTTTGTGTCCAGCCGTGGAGAAACACTCGTGGAGCCAAACAACGGAGAAAGCATCAAACCGAAGGACGACGCCGAAAGCTGCGGAGAAACACGGAGAACCGTCAAATCAAAACAGTGAGGGACGCTTCACTGTTCTGGTGATCAGAAACTCATCTCTTTCTCTCATTCTTTCCTTCTCCCGTTTCCTCTATAGTCTCAAATAAGCAATAAACCGCGTCTATTGCTTAAAAAGTAGCTTCGTGTTTTCCTCTTTCGTCCCAAACACGTCCGTCGGGTCATTTTGAAAGAATAAACTGCTTATTGATCATTGTTTGGTATCTTAAAATGGTTTCTGTCATGGCCAGGCTGAAACTAAAAGATATTAATTTGTGATTAATCTTTTGTGTTGTTTCATGATCTTTTGAAATGTTTTGAGTGATTTAAGGTTAAGTTACTACTGATTCTAAGTGCTTTGGAAGTTAAAGTGCAAGTTGCCACCCACACTTTAGCCAGACAAAGGGGTCAGCCATCTTGTATTCAAGACTCCATTTTGAATCCATACACACACACACACACACACACACACACACACACACTACTCCTTTGTGAGAACAAAGGACCCCATTCATACATCCTCCATCACATGCAAACACATCCATCTTCAATCATATCACATGGTTATTATTCATCTATTCCACTGTTTATTCATTTGACAAATTGTTAATTAAATGTTATAAAATTCAGATTTTTGTGTCCAGTAGCTTTGTTGTGTCGAAGAGAAGTCTCTGCTCCAAGGATTCTACGAACTTCAAGAAAGACTGATAAGAGTTTTGGATTCAATTTTTCCCCGGAAAAAGGGGAATGGTGCCCCGTATATCTAAGAATATCTTAATTAATTAATAAATCAGTAAATATTCCCATATTTACAGAATTTATTGAAGAATCCAAAAGTAAGTTGAAGCTTACTAATTGTTCGCTCCTAATAACCCCAACATTTTATTGGTGCCCCGTGTGAGGCTTGGATACACAGAGATTTCTATCCGGCACAAACAAACAAATAAATCCAAAGAGCTTGAATTAAAAATAATCCGTTGTTCAGCCTTGAACCAGCAACAGAGTGGTGCTGATTTCGCTGAGCAGGAAGCTGCATCGAACTCTCACCAGTA